ACTGAAAGGCAAGAAGAGACAATGAGAATCTTGAAAGCAGAGAGAAGCAAGTCATCACATACAAGGGATCCTCAATAAGACTATCAGCCAGTTTCTCAGTACAAATTTTGGAAGCCAAAAAGGCAATAAGTTGATATTTTTTAAATGCTGAGAGAAAACAACTGTCAAGCAAGAATTTGATATTTGGCAAAACTATGCTTTAAGAATGAGGGTAAATTAATGCATTCCTAGATTAAAAAAAATAAAAATAAAAATAAAAAGACATCAAGGGACCTAGAGCTGCCTAAAATATATGTGAAAGGAGTTGTTTGGGCTGAAATGAAAGGGCACCAGATAGTATCCAAAGCCACATGAAGAAACGAGGAACATGGTAAAGTTAACTACATAGGGAAATATAATAGCCAGTATTACCATTTGGCTTTTACATAAGAAAATGTAAAAGCCATTATTGGAGTTGGTTTTTTTTTTTTTTCTTTTTGAGACAGGAGTTGGTTTCTTTTTTTTCCCTTTTTGTTGCCCAGGCCGGAGTGCCGTGGCACGATCTCGGCTCACTGCAACCTCTGCCTCCCAAGTTGAAGCAATTCTCACACCTAGCCTCCTGAGTAGCTGGGATTACAGGCGTGTGCCACCATGCCCGGCTAATTTTTTGTATTTTTATTAGACATTGGGGTTTCACCATGCTGGCCAGGCTGGTCTCGAACTCTTGACCTCAGGTGATCTGCCCACCTCAGCCTCCGAAAGCACTGGGATTACAGGCATGAGCCATCATGCCTGGCCTACCGTTGGTTTCTAACTTCTCTTTTTCTCCTGTATGATATAAGAGGCAAATACATAAAGCAATAATAATAAATCTATGTTAATGGATGCACAATATATAACAATGTAGTCTGTGACACTAACAAATAAGGAAAAGGATGGAGACGTGTTTACATGCTATTGAAGTGAAGTTGGTATTATTTAAAGTAGGCCATTGTAAGATGTTAATTTTTATCCTTAGGATAATCACTATGAAAAAACTAAAAGATATACAGAAAATGAAAGAAGAAGGAGATAAAAATCGTACACTACAAAAATCAGCTAACTGTGAAAAGAAAGCAGTAATGGAAGACTTAAAAAACAAAAATTATATAAGAAATACAGAAAACACCTAAGTAGCAAAAGCCACTCCTTTCTTAACAGTACTTACTTTAAATGTATGTGAATTTTAAATTAATGTGATTAATCTCCAACTAAAGGCAAAGATTGGCAAAATGAATCTTTAGAAAAGCATGTTCCAGATTTCTCAGTCCTTTTTTTTGAGACAGAGTCTTGTTCTGTCGCCCAGGCTGGAGTGCAGTGGCACAATCTTGGCTCACTGCAACCTCCACCTCCCAGATTCAAGCAATTCTCCTGCCTCAGCCTTCCGAATAGGTGGGATTACAGGTGCAGGACACTACACCCAGTTAATTTTTGTATTTTAGTAGAGACAGAGTTTCACCATGTTGGCCAGGCTGGTCTTGAACTCCTGACTCAGGTGATCTGCCTGCCTTGGCCTCCCAAAGGGCTGGGATTACAGGCATGGGCCACTGTGCCTGGCCTTCTCAGGCTTCTTTTATAAGAGCACTAATGCCATTCAGGAAGGGAGAGCCCTCATGACCTAATTACCTCTCTAAGGCTCCACCTCTTAATGCCATCACCTTGGGGGGGATTAGGTTTCAACATAAGAATTTCGGGGGAGGGGGGACACAAACATTCAGACCACAGCACCATCATTTAGTGGTTTTTAGGGAGGTTTCATTAGACAGGCATGATTGAATAAATCATTGGCCACTGGTGATTAACTCAATCTCTAGCCCCTCTCCCCTCGCCAGAGAGCAGGGAATAGTATTAAAAGTTCTAACCTTCTTATCACATGGTTAGTTCCTCTGACAACCAGCCCTCTTCCTAAATCTACTAGGATCCCCTCCCCTAAGAATCATCTCATGAGCATACCAAAGGTACTTTTATCACCCAGCAAATTCCAAGTATGTCTGTGTCAGGAACTGGGGATGAAGATCAAATATATATTTCTTATTATCACAGTTCCAGAATATCTTTTATTCCTGTTTATAACTTCTATTTCTTTATTGCTATTCTCTTTTTGATCATACATTCATATCTTTTTAGCTCTTTAAGCATCTGTAAGATAGTTGTCTTAAAATCTTTGTCTAGTAAGTCTGACTTCTGGGCTTCCTCAAGTGCATTTTCTATCAGTATATTTTGTTCCTTTGAATGGACCATACTTTCTTTGTATGCCTTGTGATTTTTGTTGAAAACTAGACATTTGAATCCTGTAATGTGAACATTTCCTATAATGTGAACACATCCTATAATGAATCCTATAATGTGAACACATCCTATAATGTGAATCCTATAAAGTGTGACATTTGAATCCTATAATGTGGTAACTCTGGAAATAAGTTCTCCTCCTTTGCCAGGGTTTTGTTTTAATTGTTGTAGGCTGTCTTTGTACTGGGAATCATTCTGAGGTATAAGCTTTAAGGTCTTCTCACGTATTTTCTGAGCCTGCATCTTCCCCAGAGTAAATGCACTGGCTTTCTATATTTTCCCAAAAGTACAGTTGGTTTTGAATCTTTAAAAAAGGTTATAGCTCTGTTAAATCCTCTGATAGCTGCCTGAGCCAGTGGGGGTTTACACAATGGCAGCCAGTCTCTGTCCCTGTACATCCATGTTCAGAAGCAGCAATCTGTAATAAGAACACAGAACCCCAATATTTGGAGGAAAAGATCCTATTGTCCACCTTGGCTCCAGCAAGCTGTGTCAGAAATATAGGTTGTCAGCTGCCTATCATGGAGCTAGGGATTGAGTATGAACAACTACTACTGAACTGAGGGCTGAAATCAACTGATACTGCCATTTACCAGCCAAATTTTCACTTGGAAACTACAAGCATTCAATATTATCCAGAGTACTAAAACAGTCACTTCAGACAGTTCCTGCTAGTACAATCTTCGATTAGGTAGAGAGATGGATTTTTGGAGCTTCCTATTCTGCTATTTTTACTGATGTCTCATTAGTGGGTTTGGTTTATTTTTAAAGAGTTCTTCAATTAGGGTTTATTTGGAGTTTTCTTATAATTAAAGTTATGCATTACTGAGAAGGATACCACAGAGGTGATATGTCCTTCTCAGCACAACATACCAGGGATTACTTGATCACCTCCCAGCATATTTTACTGGTGATGTTAGACTTGATCATTTGCCTAAGACAGTATCTGCCTATAAACTTAGTATTTCCTCCTTTATAATTACTAAATATTTGGGGAAGAATTCTTTGAAATTATGCAATATCCTGTTTGTGTTTAAACTTTCAACCAATCGTTTTAGCATCCACCACTGGATCTTACCCATAGGAAATTACCACTGTTCTGATGGTGATTTTTCTATTTCTCTCATTTCATTTACATTTATTAATTAAAATTCTTCGGTAAAGGAGAGAGATTACTTCTTCCAAATTTGTTCATATATTAAGTTACTTATATTATTATGAACTTTTATATATTTATTTCATTATTTGCTTTATAATCCAATCATATAATTATTGATTTTGTTGTTCAAGTTGTTCTAACTTTGGCCCTTGGAAGATCTTTCCATTTGACTCCTGGGACTTTTTTTTTTTTTTTAAAGTACTTCCTTACCTACTGGCAACATAAGATGCTTCATATTCATATTATACTTTCCTAACACACACCGAAGGATCAAGCAGTTCACTAAGGAGCACTGATTCCTGTTATTAGAGAATAGTACTTATTTGTTTTTGTTTGTTTGTTTGTTTGAGATGGAGTTTCGCTCTTGTTGCCCAGGCTGGATGGAGTGCAATGGCACGATCTCGGCTCACTGCTACCTCCACCTCCCAGGTTCAAGTGATTCTCCTGCCTCAGCTTCTCAAGTAGCTGGGATTACAGGCATGTGTCACAATGCCTGGCTAATTCTGTATTTTTAGTAGACACGGGTTTCATCATGTTGGCCAGACTGGTTTGAAACTCCTGACCTCAGGTGATCCACCCACCTCGGCCTCCCAAAATGCCTGGATTACAGGCGTGAGCCACTGCACCCTGCCTGAGAAAGATCTGATTGCTATATCTGCTCATTGCTCCCGGAGTATTGCTGTTCTAACTCCATTCACTGGTGGGTTTTGGTTTTTATTTTTGTTTTGTAGAGACAGGGTCTTACTATGTTGCCCAGGCTGGTCTGTAACTCTTAGCCTCAAGCAATCTTCCCACCATAACCTCCCAAAGTCAGAGATTACAGGCATGAGCCACTGTGTCCAGTCCCAATTCACTGTTTTTTTTTTTTTTTTATTGTTAAAATGACCTTGCATTCCTGCAACCAATACCACTTAATCAAGATTTATTATTTCCTTAAATTGCTGGACTTAATTTGCTAATATTTCCTTAAAGATTTTGTGTTTACAGTCATGAAGGATATTTGTAGTACTCTGTTTTAGTGATATCTCTCTCTGGTTTTAGTATCAGGATAATACTGGTCTTGTAAAAATTATTTTAGAACTTAGAACAGGTTCATACATTTCCCAGCTTATTTTAGTTGTGAAGTAAGTTGGGAAATGTATGACCCTGTTCCAATTTCTAAAATAATTTGTTTAAGAGTAGTAATTAATTACTCACGAAATGATAGTTGCCTTTGACAGGCATCATGCTAGAAGGAAAATCATGGCCATCTTTTTATTGGCCTCTTATTGCTATATTCCACTTTAATCATACATAGCTTGATGAAGTTATATTGTACATTATTGGATAATTTTCTATTCAATCAAAGGCAAAATATTAAGAAAAAATAAAGTAATGATGTAATAAAATTCCACCTTACATAAAGGGAGTTTCAAAATGTTACTTAAAAATTAGTTTTGTTCTTTGTAAAACCTATCTGACAAGACAAATCTTTTTAGTTTTATTCTTATACTTCATTCAAAAATGTATAATTAACCCAAATGAATCACTGTACCTGTATGTTTCAATAGCTTGCATATCTTCTTCATCAAATTCATCTTCAGCTTCCTTCAGCTGTGCAAGAGTCATCTTTTCAAATGGTTTCACTAAAACAACATAAATTATAGATTATCAAATTGTTTAAAAATTTTTTTACTATACAATCAATGTCTAGAAAAAAACTGTCTTAGACAAAGGAGATCAACAGTATCTTTAAACAGCCGGGTGTGATGGAATCCCAGCACTTTGGTAGGTCAAGGTGGGCGGATCACTTGAGGTCAGAAGTTTGAGACCAACCTGGCCAACATGGTGAAACCCTCTCTCTACTAAAAATACAAAAATTAGTCAGGTGTGGTGGCAACACCTGTAATCCTAGCTACTCGGGAGGCTGAGGCAGGAGAATCACTTGAACTCAAATGACTGAGGTTGTAGTGAGCTGAGATCGCACCACTGCATTCCACCCTGGGCAACAAAGCGAGACTTGGTCTCAAAAAAACAAACAAACAAAAAAGAGTATCTTCAAACAAACATAAAGCAGCCAGCCACCAAAAAAAGGTATACATATTATAGAAAGTATAACATTAAAGTATTACTCCGTCAAAGTTCATAGAACTGACAGGCTACATTTAAAACTAGGTATGGGCCGGGCGCGGTGGCTCAAACCTGTAATCCCAGCACTTTGGGAGGCCGAGACGGGCGGATCACGAGGTCAGGAGATCGAGACCATCCTGGCTAACACGATGAAACCCCATCTCTACTGAAAAATACAAAAAAACTAGCCAGGCAAGGTGGCGGGCGCCTGTAGTCCCAGCTACTCGGGAGGCTGAGGCAGGAAAATGGCATAAACCTGGGAGGCGGAGCTTGCAGTGAGCCGAGATCCGGCCACTGCACTCCATCCAGCCTAGGTGACAGAGTGAGACTCCGTCCCCCACCTCAAAAAAACAAAAAAAACTAGGTATGAAAATCAATTAGATTTCATAAATTCAGATTTCCCTCAAGTACCTGGAAATCTTGATAAAGAAGACATACTATACATACTATAAAGAATGATAAAAATAGATGGTAATAAGATAGAGGGACAGGGTGGGAGAAGAAAGCTCCCTAGTTTATGCAACAGGCTATTTCAGCTCTGTTATTAACTAGTATGCGATTTTCGAAATGTGAAATTAGTCATTTTAGGTGTATACAAATACTGAAAGAATATAAATACTGAAAGTAGTTGGGGTTTATATTAAATGTTTTTGTTTTGTTTTGTTTTTTTGAGACAGAGTCTTGCTCTGTCACCCAGGCTGGAGTGCAGTGGCGCAATCTTGGCTCATTGCAAGCTCTGGCTCCTGGGTTCACGCCATTCTCCTGCCTCAGCCTCCCGAGTAGCTAGGACTACAGGCGCTCGCCACCATACCCTGCTAATTTTGTTTTTGTATTTTTAGTAGGGACTGAGTTTCACCGTGTTAGCCAGGATGGTCTCGATCTCCTGACCTCGTGATCCGCCCGCCTCCGCCTCCTGAAGTGCTGGGATTACAGGCGTCAGCCACCGCGCCCAGCCTATATTAAACGATTTCTAATGTCCTCTCTCCCACTATGTTCATGAAGTACCTTACTACTAACTTAACTGTATTATTCCCATCATCCAGCCCACCAAATCTACAACCATACCCATTGCTTCTTTCTGTAAACCTAAAACCATTTCTTCAATTTCATCTTTTGACTCTTCTTTAGGAGGAAGAATGCCAAAATCTCTTAAAATGTCATTCCATTCTGTATCTTCATTGGGATCCTACACAAAAAGGAAAGAAAAGAAAATTAACATGGTTGTACACTTTAATATGTATTTGGAAAATTCATTGACATGTAGCACTTAAGTGTTCAATTGTTCATGAGCTCTACAGTTAATTGGTTTTGGAGAATAAAGCAAAGTGACCTACTTTCTCCTACTTTCCAGCACTAATGGGATTATGTGCTCCATTGAAAACTTTAATAAAGTATCAATTTAGAATACATATATAGAATATTAAGGAAGTATCTCCTAAGTCATGGAAAATTTGCTGAAGACTGCATTGGGCAAAACCAATTCACATCATACACAAATACAGTTTGGTTTCCTTTTCTACGTAAGCATTCGAGACCATCAGATGAACTTCCTTTTTTTTTTTTTTTTTTTCCTGAGACAGAGTCTTGCTCTGTCACCCAAGCTGGAATGCAGTGGCATGATCTTGGCTCACTTGCAACCTCCACCTCCTGGGTTCAAGTAATTCTCATGCCTCGGCCTCCTGAGTAGCAGTCTTGCTCCACCAAGCCTAGCTAATTTTTGTATTTTTACAGGGTTTCCCTATGTTGCTTCAGCTAGTCTTGAACTTCTGGCCTCAAGTGATCCTCCCTCCTCAGTCTTCCAAACTGCTGGGATTATCTTTGCTAATTTTAAAATTGGGTTGTTTTCTTACTACTGTTATTTGAGTTCCATATATATTTTAAGTAGTAATGCCATGTCAAGTGTATTGCTTGCAAATATTTTTTCCCAATATATAGATTGTCTCTTCACTTTGCTAACTGTTTCCTTTGCTGTGCAGAAGTTTTTTAGTTCGATATAATCTTGTCTATTTTTGCTTTGTTGCCTGAGCTTGGGGGATTAAATCCAAAAATTCACTGCTTAGACCAGTAGTGTGTAGTTTTTCCCCTGTGTTTTCTTCTTGTATAATATTTTCACAATTTCAGGTCTTATATTTAGGTCTTTAATCAATTTTTAGTTGATTTTTATAGATGGAGTGGGATAAGGGTCCAATTTCATTCTTCTGTATGTGAATATCTTGTTTCCCAAAACCAATTATTGAAGAGACTGTCCCTTCCCCCATTGTGTGTTCTTGTCCCCTTTGCCAAAAATCAATTGACTGTAAATGTATGAGTTCATTTTTGAGTTCTCCATTGGTCAATGTCTATTTTATGCCAGTACCATGCTGTTTTGATTACAATGGCTTTGCAATATAGTTTGAAGTCAGGTAATGTGATGCCTCTAGTTTTCTTCTTTATGCTCAAGATTGTCTTAGCTATTCAGAGTTTCTTGTGGTGCCATATGGATTTTAGAACTGCTTTTTCTACTTCCATACAAAAGGGCAAATTGGAATCTTGGATAAGGATTATATGGAATCTGCAGATTGCTTTGGGTAATATGAACACTTTAACAATAATTTTTCCAATCCATGAACATGGAATATCTTCCTATTTATTTGAGTCTTCTTCAATCTCTTTCATCAATATTTTATCATTTTCAGTCTACAGATTTTTCACATCCTTCTTTAAGGAGTATTTAAATCCTAAGTATTTACTTTTTTGTAAATATTATAAATGGGATTATTTCCTCAATTTATTTCTCTGATAGTTCATTGTTAGTATACAGAAATGCTACTAGTTTTTTGTTGTTTTTGTTTTGTTTAGCTTTGTGTTTTGTTTTTTGAGATGGAGTCTCGCTCTATTGCCCAGGCTGGAGTGGAGTGGTGCAAACTCAGCTCACGGCAACCTCTGCCTCCTGGGTTCAAGCAATTCTCCTGTCTCAGCCTCCCGAGTAGCTGGAACTACAGGTGCCTACCACCTCACCCGGCTAATTTTGTATTTTTAGTAGAGATGAGGTTTCACCATGTCGGCCAGGCTGGTCTTAAACTCCTGGCTTCAAGTGAGTCACCCACCTCAGCCTCCCAAAGTGCTGGGATTATAGGTATGAGCCACCATGCCTGGCCAGAAATGCTACTAGTTTTTATATTGATTTGGTATCTTGCAACTTTACTGTATCCATTTATTAGTCCTAACAGTTTTTTGGTGGGGACTTTAGGGTTTTATATATACAAGATTACATCATAAGCAAACAGCAACAATTTCACTATTTCCTTTCCTGTTTGGATGCCTTTATTTATTTCTCTTGCTTAATTGCTCTGGCAAAGACCTCTGGTACTATATTGAATAGAAGTAGTGAGAATGGGCATCCTTGTCTAAGAAATAAAGCTTTCAACCTTACCATTGAATATAATATCATCAGTAGGCTTGTCATATATGCCTTTATTGTGTTGAGGTATATTCCTTCTATACCTAATTTGTTGCAAGTTTTTATCATGAAAGGATATTAAATTTGGTTGAATGCTTTTTCTGCATCTAACAAGATTATCATATGATTTTTGTCCATAATTCTTTTAATGTGGTGTGTCACATATGTAGATTTGCATATGCTGAAACATCCTTGCATCAACAGGATAAATTCCACTTAATTGTGGTACATTATTCTTTTAATGTGCTGTTGACTTCAGTTTGCTAGTATTTTGTTGGGGATTTTTACATCTGTGTTCTTCAGAGATAATGGCTTGTAATTTTCTTTTCTTGTAATGTCCAGGTCTGGCTTTGATGTCAAAGTAATGTTGATCTCATTAAAAAGATTTAGGGCCGGGTGCAGTGGCTCATGCCTGTAATCCCAGCACCTTAGGAGGTGGGCAGATCACCTGAAGTCAGGAGTTCGAGACCAGCCTGGCCAACATGGTGAAACCCTGTCTCTACTAAAAATACAAAAATTAGCTGGGCACAGTGGCAGGCACCTGTAATACCAGCTACTCGAGAGACTGAGGCAAGAGAATCACTTGAACCCAGGAGGAGGAGGTTGCAGTGAGCCGAGATCGCACCATTGCACTCCAGCCTGGGAGACAAAGTGAGACACTGTCACAAAAAAAGCCAACAACAACAACAACAACAAAAAACATTTAGAAGTATTCCTTTTCTATTTTTGGAAGAGTTTAAGAAGGATTGGTATTAGTTCTCCTTGAAATGTTTGGTCGAATTTACTGGTGAAGCCATCAGGTCCTGGACTTTTCTTTGATGGGAGACTTTATTTTTTATTCAATCTCCTTATTTGTTATTGGTCTGTTTAGATTCTGTATTTCTTCTTGATCCACTGTTGGTAGGCTCTATGTGTCTAGGGATTATTCCAATTCTTCTAGGTTATCCAATCCATTGGCATGTAACTGTTCATATTAATGTCTTACGATGCTTTGTATTTCTGTGGTACCAGCTGTAAGGTCTCCTCTTTTGTTTCTGATTTTATTTGAGTCTTCTTTATTCTTAGTATTGGTAAGGTTTTGTTGATTTTATATTTTCAAAAAAACAAAGATTTTGTTGATTTTTTCTATTGTTTTTCTAGTCTTTATTTCATTTATTTCTGCTGTTTGTTATTTCTATCCTTCTGATAACTGTAAGCTTAGTTTGTTCTTTTTTGTTGTTGGCATTTATTGCTATGCATTTCCCTCTTAAATCTGCTTTTGCTGCCTTCCATAGGTTTTGTTGTAGTTCCATTTTTGTTTTCCTCAATATATTTTAAAATTTCTCTTCTAATTTCTTCTTTGACCCATTGGTTGTTCAGTAGCATGTTGTTTAATTTTCACATGTTTGCTAATTTTCTAAGATTTCCCCTGTTATTCATTTCTATAATAGAAAATCTGTACTCATAAAATGATAGCCCCTCATTCTCTCCTCTTCCAAACTCCAGGAAACCATTGTTCTATGTTCTACTTTCTACCATGTATTTGACTATTCTATGTACTTCATGCAAGTGGAACCATACAATAATTGTCCTTTTGTGACTGGCTTATTTCGCTTAGCATGTTTTCAAGGTTCAACTACGTTGTAGCACGTAGCAGAATTCCATTCTTTTTTAAGGTTGAATAACATTCCATTGTACATATATACCACATTTTGTTTATTCATCCATCAATGGACATTTGGGTAGTTTTCACTTTTCATTGTTAGGAATAAAGCTGTTGTAAAAATGGGTATACAAATATCTGTTTAAGTCCTTATGTCCTTACTTTCAATTCTTTTGGGTATATACCTGGAAGGAGAATTACTGGATCATATGTTATCTGTTTAATTTCGAAGGAAATTACCAGTTTTCTACAGCAGTTGCACAGTTTTACATTCCTACCAGCAATGCAAAAGGGTTCTAATTTGTCTACATCCTTATCAACAGTTTTGTTATTGTCAATCTTTTCTATCGTAAACATTCTAATGGGTGTGAAGTAGATTGTGGTTTTGAGCTGCATCCCCCTCATGATTAGTGATGTTAAGCATCTTTTCATGTGCTTATTGGCTATTTATAGATCTTCTTTTAAGAAATGTCTATTCAAGTTTGGCTGAGTCCATTTTGTACTCTATAACAAAATATCTTAGACGGTAAATTATAAAGAACAGAAATTTATTTTTCACTGTTCTGGAGGCTGGGAAATCTAAGATTATGGCACTGTCAAGTTCATTGTCCAGTGAGGGTCTGATCTCGTCTTTCAAGATGGTACTTTGAACACTGTGTCTTCCATAGGAGAGAAACACTGTGTCCTCACATGGCAAAAGACAGGATAGTGAAAAAAAAAAAAAAAAAGGGACAAACTCTCTCTAACAAGCCCTTTTATAAGGGTATCTAATCTCATTTACAAGGAAGGAGACGAATGGCCTAATCACCTCTTAAGGGCCCCACCTCCTAATACAATCACATTGGAAACACCTGAATTTTGGAGGCGACACAAACTATAGAAAAATCTTTTGCCCATTTTTATATTGGGTTGTCTTTTTGTTGTTGAATTTTAGGAAGTCTTTATATTTTCTGGATATTATTCTCTCATCAAATATATGATCAGCCAATATTTTCTATTCTGTGGGTTGTCTTTTTTTTTTTTTTTTGAGATGAAGTCTCGGTCTATTGCCCAGGATGGAGTACAGTGGAGCAATCTCGGCTCATTGCGAATTCCGTTTCCTGGGTTTAAATGATTCTCCTACCTCAGCCTCCTGAGTAGCTAGGATTACAGATGCCCACCACTACACCCAGCTAATTTTTGTATTTTTAGTAGAGATTGGGTTTCACCATGTTGGCCAGGTTGGTCTCAAACTCCTGACCTCAATGATCCACCTGCCTCAGCCTCCCAAAGTGCTGGGATTACAGGTTTGAGCCACCGCACCTCACTACTTATCTTTTCACTCTCTTGATAATGTCCTCTGAAGCAAAAAAAAAAAAAAAAGCTTTAAATTTGGTAAAGTACAATTTATTTATTTCTTTTGTTACCTGTGCTTTTGGTGTCATAACCAAGAAATTACTGTCAAACTCAATGTCATGAGTCTATCTTATGTTTCCTTTTAAGAGATTTCTACCTTTAGCTATAGGACTTTGATGTAGTTTGAGTAAATTTTTGTATACAGTTATGAAAGAAAAATAAATCTTAGGATCCCCAAATCAGTAAGCCAAGGGAAAAGTCAAGTTGGGAACTATGTCAAGCAAATCTGCCTCTCATTTTATTCCTAAATAAAATAGCTACAAAGACAAAAAGCTACACACCTCCCTCACAATTTGCCCAAAAGGAAATTCCTTGTGGACAAAGGACAGACTGGAACTGAAAATCATCCCTCTCAGACTCACCTGAGACAAATGCATATGTGACTGCTTCCTCTGCTCTGTTGTTTATGTAAAAATGCAGATTCGCTGAGCCAGACTAAATTGTGTATTCAGTGAAAAGCTAATCAAGGACTCAAAAGAATCAAGGACTCTCTTATCTACTTCTGACCTGAAACCCCCTCTTCAACTTGTCCTGCCTTACTATACCAAATCAATGTACATCTTACACATATTGAGAATGATGTCTCCCATCTCCCTAACATATATAAATGCAAGCTGTACCCCAACCACATTGGACGCATGTCATCAGGACCTCTTAACACTGTGTCACGGGTACATCCTTAACGTTGGCAAAATAAACTTTCTAAGTCAACTGAAACCTGTTTCAGATATTTCAGATTCACAAAGTCTAAGATAAGGTTCCAGTTTACCCAGCACCATTTATTGAAAAAAAATTAACTATTGCCCACTTAATGGTCTTAGCACTCTTGTTAAAAATTTTTTGAAAAGATGTGTGGGTTTATTTCAAGGCTTTCTATTCTACTCTTGTCTGTTTTATAGTTTTCAGTATTTATAAGTACAGTTGTTTTTGTTGTTATTGTTGTTGTTGTTTTTTGAGACAGAGTCTCGCTCTGTCGCCCAGGCTGGAGTGCAGTGGCGGCTCACTGCAAGCTCCACCTCCTGGGTTCATGACATTCTCCTGCCTCAGCCTCCCGAGTAGCTGGGACTACAGGTGCCCGCCACCATGCCCAGCTAATTTTTTGTATTTTTTTTTAGTAGAGACAGGGTTTCACCGTGTTAGCCAGGATGGTCTCGATCTCCTGACTTGTGATCCACCCGCCTCGGCCTCCCAGAGTGCTGGGATTACAGGCACTGTGCCTGGCCAGTCTGGTTGTTTTATAACCTATTTCTGACCATTCTGTTATCTAAAAATCTCTGTAACTCTGTTTTTCTTGGTTCATGGTCTCACGGTGGCTTATTTCCTTGTGTGCTTGGTTACCTTTGACTGATTTCTGCTTTCTGTCCTTGAAAACTTATTGATGGGAATTCCTTAAAGCCTACACTAAACACATCTTCCTCTATAGAGGATTTATATTTTTTTTCTTCCAGGTATTTGAGGGCACTATAATATATAACGAATTCACAGTTTAAGGTTGCTGGACTACCCAACAATACGACTCAGGTTACAAATCCATATGAGAGCTGTCTTGGGCCGAAATGTTTTTTGACAGGGTTTAATCCTTTTCATTTTCTCCTCTGTTCCACTAAGCACCAAGATATCCTTCCCTAAATTCTCCTAGACATGTGTTTACCGCCGGTTCACCCTCCTACTCATCTCCCATCCTTTGATGAACCAAACCCTTTGGTTCCACCTCAAATAATTTTCTATCATTCTGACTTCTTAGCTGGGACAGACTCCTGTAATAAAAGACAGATTAACAAGAGAAAAATCCTGTTTATTAGTATGTATACTTCATGGATACATTGGAGATACCAGGGAAAATGAGTGTATCTCAAAGAGGTTGCTTAGAATTCAGACTTAAATAACATGTTTAGCTGGAAAAAAAAAAAGGGTATGTGGGAAGCAAGTGATGGGGAGGAAACCAGGAAAAGCAGAGTGTATTAAAAGTAAGCTTTGCTAGCCAGGCATTGTAGTCCCAGCTCTTTGTCCCATTATCCCAAGATTATAGGTTGGGTCCCAACTCAAGCCTGTAATCCCAGCACTTTGAGAGGCCAAAGCAGGCAGATCTTTTGAGGTCAGGAGTCCGAGACTAGCCTGGCGAACGTGTTGAAACCCTGTGTCTACTAAAAATACAAAAAGTGGCCAGGCGTGGTGGTGCACTCCTGTAGCATATATAAATGCAAGCTGTACTCCAACCACGTTGGACGCATGTCATCAGGACCTCTTAAGGCTGTGTCATGGGTACATCCTTAACCTTGGCAAAATAAACTTTCTAAGTCAACTGAAACCTGTTTCAGATATTTCAGATTCACAAAGTCTAAGATAAGGTTCCAACTTCATTCTTTTGCATGTGGATATCCAGTTTACCCAGCACAATTTATTGAAAAAAAAATTAACTGTTGCCCATTTAATGGTCTTAGCACTCTTGTTAAAAACTTTTTGAAAAGATGTGTGGGTTTATTTCAAGGCTTTCTATTCTACAAAAACTAGTAGGTTTTCTGTTCTTATCATTTTTTAAGGTAGTGGAGGAGGACAAATTGAATTACACTTGGGCTAACGTTGCTGGTCTATTTCTTAAGTCAAAAATAGTATGCAGCAGTAAGATTTCTATGATTCTGGTGTGAAATACAATACGCAGCAACTCTTTTAACGTTTTCTCCAGCGACAGACACAAGTCTTAAAGGCTGAAAAAATGGCGTTTTCCTAGAGGATTTTTCTCAAAACTAGACAGAGAAGCACGCAAAATTTAGCACTTTTCAAGAACAAATGTTAGAGCCTAATTCCTGTGTTCGCCCTCCCCATTTGTGTCTCTTGGCTTCGGGCCCAGCTGGAGACCCAATGGGTGTTCCAGGGTCGCCCGGCGAGTCCCTACCCTCACCTGCATGATGTGCTGCTCTGCCCCTCAAGAGCCCGCGTCGTCCTGTAGCTGGCGAGGCGCCACGGATTAAGACCCGCAGCCTCCTCCAGGCAGGAAGCGCGCCCGCTTCAGGCCCGGCGGTTTCGAGTGCCCGCCGGAAGAGGCAGAGGCGAACAAGGACTTGTTACGCTTGTGCGGACGAGGTAGCTTGGTTGCCAGGCAATGCAGAGGCCTAACACAGGGGATGGTTGTGGGTACTGACGCCCCAGAGCCTGGAGCCTCTGTCCCAAGCACTGCCTTTCCCGTTCGCTGTGTGGTGCTGGTGTGGACATTCCTGTCAACTTTTCCCTCCATCACCACCACTGAATCAACCGATTGTTTCAGAGCCTCTGGCACCCTTCAAACCGAGTCCTGTCTTCATGGAGAAATAACAAACTCCTGGAACGGAGAACCTTTATTCAGAGGAGGCATTCTTAACCTGGAATCCATAGACTATATATATTTTTTTGTTTTGAGACAGGGTCTTACTCTGTCGCACCGGCTGGAGTGAAGTGGTGCAAACACTGCTCACTGCAGCCTCCACCTCCAAGGCTCAAGCAATCCTCCTGTATAAGCGTCCCAAGTAGCTGGGATCACAGATGCATGTGCCATCATACCCAGATAATTTTTTTTAAATTTTTTTTGTAGAGACAGGGGTCTCACATGTTGCCTAGGCTGGTTTCAAATTCCTGGGCTCAAGTGATCCTCCCACTTCAGTCTCCCAAAGTGCTGGGATTACAGGCATGAGCCACCACACTTAGCCCATACAACATATTTGGATAGACTTTATGGAGTATCTTGCTCCCCAGTCCCCAAGTGTACACATAATTTTGTTGTAGGTGTACATTTTTTTTTTTTCTGAAGTTAAGAACCAGAGCTTTCATTAGATGCTTAAATGGGACTGTAGGCCCCCCAATTCCATCTTAAAAATCCACTGCCTTAAGTGACAGAAGCTCTGGCTTTAGGCCAGGCACGGTGGCACACGCCTGCAATCCCAGCTCTTTGGGAGGCTGAGGCAGGCAGATCACTTGAGCTCAGGAGTTCAAGACCAGCCTGGCCAACATGGTGAAACTTCCATCTCTACTAAAAATACAAAAACTAACGGGATGTGGCGGGTGCCTGTAATCCCAGCTACCCAGGAGGCAGAGGTTGCAGTGAGCCAAGTTCACACCACTGCACTCCAGCCTGAGTGACAGAGTGAGATCTGTCTAAACTGAGGGGAAAAAATAAATAAATAAATAAAGCTCTGGCTTTAGGTAGGATATCTAGACAGGTGGGGGTTCCTTTGTGTTTAAATTAAGGAAAGGATGTTTACTGGGAGCTGCCAGGAACTTGAGGAAAACACTTGGTGTTTCACACAAGTTGTTTTACACAGTTCCAGAGATGTACTCACAGGACTTGGAAAGAAAAAAAAATGTTTTTAATGACATAACTTTAAACTTGGGTTCAGCATGGGACCAGTCCATCTGTAGTGCCCAGCGGGTACTTGATACAAATCTTATACTCCTAGTAGCCCATATTCTGTTGTGTTTGCATATGAGACATGAATTTGTTAAATATAAATAATTAAAAACATATCACAATTTTTGTAATAATGTCTTGGTATTTTCCTCATCTTCTTCCTCTTCCTCTTTCTTCTTCTTCTTCATCCCCGGAGCCCTAAAAATGTTACCTATATCTCTCTGGATTTCTGAGAGGCCCTGGGAACTGCTGATTAAATTAACATTCTTTTCTTGTTCTGACAATCCAAAGTCCAGGTTAGTTGAAGTACTGTGCACAGAACTAGCTAATGCAGCCCCATGCATTTGTGGCTTTAGGGCAGCATGCTCTCCTTGCTCTCAAGTCCCCATCTTATCAAGGCATTTTTATTTTCCTAAAAATAATGTATGTTTTTCTCTTCTTCTTCTTATGTTCTTCACTCAGGCTGACTGGAAGTGAAATTCAGGAACTTTGTTAGTAAAAGGTGTAACTTAAGCTATAATAATTGCTCAACATTAGGAAGACAAAGGTTTGTTAGATACTCTGCTCTGAAGAATATCTGTGTAGACCTAATTCTACCTACTCAAAAGAGCCACTGCTTTCTAATCAGCCAGCAACCTTCTTGATGGAGGAGGTGGGAACCTAAGACAGAGGTCAGAAGAAAAAAGATCAAGGGAACCTGAGAGGAGATAAATTCAACCTCCATCTGAAGTTAATTCTGTGCCCACTAAACATTGATTTGATGTTAAAAGTTCCCAATTGTGTTCATGATCCTCTATTAATAAGATTATTTTCTTTCTGCTAATAGACAGAACTGCTTGCCTTTCAGATGTTGTGAGGTGAAGTAACTTATTTTAGGATAAACTGAATACTATGAATTGGTAGAAAAAGTTGGTCCTCTGATATATTTGTAGCAATCAGATATCCATTATACAGTTTATAAATCAGAACTTGATTATTGGACTATTGGATGGGTTATGGCCCAAGCCTCCAACTAGTATAGTTTCAGTTGGTGCTCACATTCTAAGATTGGTAGCTACTGGGCATTCTGGTATTTATGAGAGCTGGTGTTTTGTCACTGACAAAATCCAAATACGATAAACTAATACAGCTCATTAAAACTCAACTCTCAACTCTCTATGAGTGCCTTTAATGAAAACATCAAAAATGCATGTGGGCAGGGTACGGTGACTCATGCCTGTAATCCCAGCACTTTGGGAGGCCAAGGCGGGTGGATAACCTGAGGTCAAGAGTTCGAGACCAGCTTGGCCAACATGGCAAAACCCCGTCTTTACTAAAAATACAAAAAAAAAAAAAAATTAGCTGGGCATGGTGGTGCATGTCTGTAATCCCAGCTAGTCGGGAGACTGAGGTAGAAGAATTGCTTGAACCCAAGAGACAGAGGTTGCAGTGAACCAAGATTGCACCACTGCACTCCAGCCTGGGTAACAGAGCAAGACTCTGTCTCAAAAAAAAAAAAAAAAAAAAGCATGTCAGTACTGTCAAACCCAGCAGGGATCTAAGGAACATCATTATTTACAGGTTTATTACACAGTATTTCTCATTAAAACACTAAGCAAAAATATTTTTAGATTTTTTAATTTTCAACAAATTAAACATTTACAACATTGTTACAACTGAGAACATCGACAACACAGGGATTTTCAACAGGGTAAATTTAGCAAGGATTTTTTTCAGAAGAAAACAAAATGTCAGTACATTTTGTATTCCATAGCATTGCTCTGTGGAAAATTAGTTGGCAGCCTGCAAAAAAAAGAAAAACTGAATTAGATTTAAGTGCAAATGACCATGTGAATATGTGTACATAATTTCTATATTTTGTCATAGAGTAACATTAGCATCTGAAATATTTCCCAGCTGTTCTTCTGTGTGTGTGTGTGTGTGTATTGTGTATGTATATATATACACACACACACACACAGAAGAAATATATATATATGTATTTTTCTTTTTTGAGACAGAGTCTTGCTCTGTTGCCCAGGTTGGAGTACAGCGGCGTGATCTCAGCTCACTGCAGCCTCCACCTCCTGGGTTTAAGCAATTCTCCTGCCTCAGCCTCCTGAGTAGCTGGGATTACAGAAGCGCACCACCACGCCCGGCTAATTTTTGTATTGTTAGTAGAGACAGAGTTTCACTATGTTGGTCAGGCTGGTCTCCAACTCCTGACCTCTAGTGATCTGCCCACTTTGGCATCCCAAAGTGCTGGGATTACAGGCGTGAGTCACCGTACCTGGCCTGTCTGTATATTTTTAACTATATATCATTTAATCTATCTCTAATGGAACACTTATTCTGTATGTCTGTGGCTTCCAACAGTTTACAGTATTTAACTATTTAAAAGTGATTTCCTAAAGCTCATTCATACCAATAAGATTTATGAATAAGCTATTTCAAAAGCTACATTTACTCCTTGTATATCTATTTCCTCATATATTTGCAACTAAATAGTTCTATTTTATGTTTAACTACTTTCTAAATAAATATAGGTCATCAGGATAGAGAAAGGCCTTAGAAAATCAGATGAGAAAAACAAAGAAAACATGATTATTATGTTGTTTTTCTATTGGCAAAATGAAATGAAATCATGAGTACATTAGTTTATGTATACCCTAATCTTGAAAATAATCTGAATAAAGCAATTATTCTCAATTTTGGAGTTTTTGTTTTTTTTTTTTTTACTAAATTCACCAAATCATGGATTAAATTTCATTTCACATTCTGAACACTCTAATACTTACTTCGATGTTACAAATGCAGCTATTTTTTTCCCATTTGGTATTAAGCTATTTAAAAACATTTTTTATGCCAATTTACATTTATAATATTATAAAAGATAAAATAGTTTCTTATCCATTAGCTCTCTGTTCTTTGTTCCTTGAAAAAATACAAAATTAAGAATATGTTTTCTCATATTCCTCATGTGAACATAATTTATCAGGCCTCTTCTGAAGCAGGAGTTAATACCAAACACAGTTTGCAAATTCAAGTTCCTAATTAGGTCCCATGAGCACATTAAATTTTTCCTTCGCTTTTCCACTATTTGAATCTTTTCTTTCTTTCTTTTCTAATTGAATTGGCTAACACATTAAGAACTACATTAAATAAGAAATTAGAGAGTATCTTTATCTTGTTCCTGACATTAATGGAAATGCTCCAAAGTGTTTCACTAACAAGCCAGCTACTGTACTAACTTGGTTTGAGACCATTATATAAATCATGTCAAGAAAGGCTTAATCTCTTCCTAATAGATCAGAAATTGATGTGAAATTTTACCAAAAGTATCTATTGAGATTATCATATAATTTTTCTTCTAATAGTGAAAACTTTTAACACACTTCTTAATGTTGAACCATCCTTGAGTTGCTGGAACAAATCTTACTTAGTGGGGTCATAAAATTATTTAAGTATACTGATGAATACTATTTTATAATATTCCTTTAAAATTTTTACATTAATATTTATAAACACAATTGACGTACAGATTTTTTATACTATTTTTTAAGTTTTGGTATTAATATTATGCTGGCTTCATGAAAATATTTGGTAGTTTTTCTTCTTTCTCTGAGCTGAAAAAATTCAAAATTATTGGCTTAGCACTTTTTGAGGGTATATTGTGGGTATAGTTTTTTTTTTTCCTTTTTTTGAGACAGTATAGTTTTGAATGAGTAGTTTCTTTATTTTTTTTCTTTTTCTTTTCTTTTTTTTTTTTTTTTTTTTGCTCTTGATGACCAGATTGGAGTGCAATGGTGTGATCTCAGCTCACTACAACCTCTGCCTCCTGGGTTTAAGTGATTCTCCTGCCTAAGCCTCCCAAGTAGCTGGGATTATAGGCATGCACTACCACACCTGGCTAATTTTGTATTTTTAGTAGAGACGGGATTTCTCCATGTTGGTCAGGCTGGTCTTGAACTCCTGACTTCAGTTTCTTTATTTTTGAAGGTGATCCACCCACCTTGGCCTCCCAAAGTGCTGGGATTACAGGCCTGAGCTACTGCGCCTGGCCAAGGGTATAATTTCTAGATAACATTTTCCAATTTTCCCCCATACCTATTAGTCCGTTTAGTGTTTTTCTTTTTTCTGAGGTCAATTTTGGTAGCACCTACTTTATTAGACAATCCTCCATTTTATCCAGGTTTCCAAACTGATATGTGGAGAGATGTGCAAAGTACTCTTTTGTGATTTTTATTTCTTCTGTTTTAATTTCTCTTTTCATTGTACTTTTCTATATTTTTGATTTTACCCTTTTTCTTGATTACACTAGGCCAATTTAATTTTTGCAAAGAATTACTATAAAAAAAAGAATTACTATAGATTTTTGCTTTGTTTACTGTCCTCCTTCTTTACTGCTTTTTTTTAAAGTTTTTAAACTTTTCATTTGCATATTAAAAAAATTGTGCATTCCAATAATTAAAATCATTTGAGCAAAAAAAAAAAAAAAAAGGCACTCTGATTAAACTGCATTACATCCTGCAGGACACCTTGGGCCAGCTTGGTTTTACTCTAGATTTCACTGTCGTCCCACCCCACTTCTTCCACCCCACTTCTTCCTTCACCAACATGCAAGTTCTTTCCTTCCCTGCCAGCCAGATAGACAGATGAGAGAGGCAGGCGCGGCCTTCGTTGTCAGTAGTTCTTTGATGTGAAAGGGACAGTACAGTCATTTAAACTTGACCCAACCTCTTTGCATCTTACAAAGTTAAACAGCTAAAAGAAGTAAAATAAGAAGGCAATGCTTGTGGAATATACAGTGCATATTGGTGGCGCACGCCTCATTACGATTCGCCTGCTTGCTTCTCCTGTTCCATCGTTTCTTTGGAAGGCAGTGGATTTTTCTCTTGCGTCTCTGTCTTCTTCAGTTTCGAGTTACCGAATTTCTCGATCTCAGCCATATCGGGTTTGTCAGACATGGTTGCGGAGGGAAAGCGGAGCCAGGCACGTGAGAACAAGCGAAGTCTGATCTGCACAGTGGCCACCACCGAGTTGTCCTGTTTTACTGTTTTTAACATCAATTTCTTCTTTCATTTTTATAACTTCCTTCTGCCCTCTTGAAGTTTACTTTGTTGTTATTTTGTTTTTATTTTATTTATTTATTTTTTTTTAAGATAAGTTCTTGTTCTATTGCCTTGGCTGGAGTGCAGAGGAAAGACATAGCTCACAGCCTCAAACTCCTGGGCTCAAGCTATCCTCCCATCTCAGCCTCTGAAGTAGGTAGGACTACACGCATGCGCCACCACATCTGGCTAATTTTTTTCTTAAGTTTTTGTAGAGATGGGGTCTCAAAATCCTGTGCTCAAGTGATCCTCATGCCCTAGCCTCTCAAAGTGATAGGATTACAGTCATGAGCCACTTGCCCAGTCTAAAATGAATGATATATTTGAAAAAATACGTTCAGCATAAAATCTGGATTTAGGATTACAAAAGCTTAGTAGAATACACTTTTATTTCTGTGGTGTAAATTTATTAATCTGCATTTGGGGTTGATTTCAACATTTATTGTCTAATAAAATATTAGGATTAACATATTTATTAAACATGTGGGAACAGTCAACAGCTACTAAATTTCTACTGTATGTCCAGCACTGAGGTAGAGATTCTGGCAGCACGAAAGAAGAAGTCATTCTCTCATGTCTTTCCACATTTTAAAAAATTCTCTAGAAACCAGTAAATCACCAGCTTTTACAAAGAATCTTTGAGTATTGGTTATTTAGATGACAGAAGTACTTTCGGTCTGTAAATCTTGGCCCATTATGGTAGACACTGATTACTGCAATAAGAATTCATTCCTTGACATATCCTACTTGCACAATAAATGATGATAAGATCAATGTCTACAAAATCACTTATGATAATTATTACTGTGACATAGTCTGAGGAATAAATGACATGGGCAAAGCAAATGAGGCCCTAAAATACTGGTATTTTCTCATTACAATAAAGCCCTTACAGCTCCTATCATTGTAGTATTTATATGGGACATTCATGTACATATGCAATCAAATAATAGAAATATATTTAGCATAATTTAATTTGTGACTGTTTGAAAACAACAGAAAATGTCAAACTGTGTTGAACTGTGAAATGCATACCATTTTATTTATTTATTTCTCACATACCATTTTAAATGAACCCTGCTGACCTTCTTCCATTCCGTGGCTGAAAAATAATAGATTAGAAATAAATCAGTGTAACTAAAGATGGAAGCTAATAGTCATAGGAACAGATTGATGACTTAGAGGAGTATTTAATGTGCATCACAATCATCTAGAGGGCTTTTTACAACATAGACTTCTGGACTCCTTAGCCAGAATTTCTGATTTAGTAAGTCTGAGAATCCTAAGAAATTTGTATTTCTAACAAGTTCTGAGGTGATGCTAATGCTGCAAAGACCACCATGAACTAGATGCTATTTGACTTTAATTATTTCCTTGATGGTACCAACATTTTTAAACAAATGTTCTCAATTTTAATTTGATATGAACCAAAATGAACTTACTGAAGTCAGGGCTGTTTAGCTGCTTACTCCTTCCTGCTATCAGTCCAATTCCTTCATTCAATCCATTCTCTAATTTGCTATTAGAATTATTTTCCAAAAGGCAAATCTTACATTTGCCCCCTCCTTAGCCTTTAGTGTAAAGCTGAAATCTCTTAGCTAAATATTTCATCAACCACTTCCCATTGATTCTTCAGGATTCAGCTCATGAAGCTTCTCTGTACCTCTTCCATTCCCCAGCTGGAGTTAAATGCTTTTCTTTTGGAAACCACAGCCCTTGGATTACAAGTGCATTTCACACAGTACTTTATATTTGTTTACTTATCTGCTTTCTCTTAGAGCCTATCTAAACTCCTAGAGCACAGGAATGGAATCCTATCTGTCTTTATAGTCCCAGCCCTTGGTACATTGCTCAGCACCCAGTAGAAGTTCAATAAATACTTGTTGAACTAATTAATTAAAACTTTCTGGTAATGTATTAAGGATGCAAATATTTTGCAAAGTGTAGCTGCCTAGAATAAAAACACATTTTATAGACAATGTGGACAAACAAAATCAGAAATGTAATCCCGAAATTCTGTCTACTTATACCTTTTATTATGATTGGTTCTTTTAATTTTAAGAATTTGTGAATTCTCTTCCAATCTACTGAGTTAAAAATTTTATAAATAATTCCATAGAAATAAGGAATAGTGTATCTTTAAGACACCTATTTTCTATACACAAAATGTCATAGAATTAAAGTGTCAAATAGGTGACTGTTACTGGAGGTGTTTAAACATGAGCAATAGATCAAAGGAGAGATCAGAGATACTATGGTATTGAAGCAATAAAGTGGTGACAGAAGTGAATGTCAGACTGTAACACCTGATGCCAAACATCTATAAACTTTAAAACTTAATTGAAATGTAAAAGTTAATTAAATACACAGTGAACATGTTTTTAAATTTTGATGTAGATTGATTTTTTTAAAAAAAATACAGTATGTACCTACCCTGAATAAAAAATATCCTCGACTTTGACTTGCAAAGGGACTTTGGAATTCTTCCTAGAAGAGAAAACGAGGGCATTACAAATCAAATAACACTAAAAATAAGTGCAAATTCTCCTTGAAAGTACATTGAGGGTCAGAATTACTTTCAACTATCATAACTAAACATAGAGGGAATCAGGGACTTGAATAGAGAATTTTCGTATTATACCTGAAAATTTTCAACAACTAGTAGTATCATCAGAATCTTATATTTAGAAATAATTTCCTTATCAGTGTGACCAATTTGCCTTTCAGGAATTTTGTCAGTTGTAGGTGAATTCATCAATAAGTAGAAAGAGAAATGACAGACACTTCATAATTGACTATATTTAAATTCTCCTTTCAGCATTTTGTTAGAATGAAATAATTTATTTAAAATACATATTGCATGTGTTAACACATGAACAGGGGAAAATACAAAACAGAATTGTGTCAAAGCTAAAAAATATTATACAATATTTCTACAGAAATGTAGTTTGAAATTAAGGGACAAATTTGGTAAATTATGTTTATTTGATGAAGCTTTAGGACAGATGTTCCTAATATAATTATATATGCAGAATGTTAATTTTTAAATTTCCAAATATTAATAGGAATGACCCAATTATTCATAATAAGTATATCTTTTTCTTAAACATTTCATTTTAAACTTTGTGAAAAAAATACATTAACATTTTATGGTTTCCATAAAATTGGCTTATAGCTTCCTATTTTCATTAACAATTATCTATATCATAAAAGCATTATCAGCATGGCTATCACCATGAAATCTGTCAGCCAAGACCTTTTTCAACTATTTTATAATATGAATACTATCATATTAAATTCTAAGAAATGGCTCTGATATATGTTTAAATTCTGAAATACTTAGTTTGCAACAAATGTATCTTAAATTCTCAATATAGTATTTAATTTTCATCTTTACTATAACTCCCCAAATTACTTAATATTGAAAAAATCTGTATTTAAAAATGTACATACTGTATACATGTATCAAAATATCACATGTACCCCCAAAATATGTATAACTATAATATACCAATGAAAAATAAAAAATAAAGTTTTAAGTTTTCAAAATTAAAAAAAAATGTACACATATAAACCATATGTTTATATACCTATGTAAGCAACGTTCTCAGCTGGGTACAGTGGTTAATGCTTGTAATCTGAGCACTTTGGGAGACTGATGTGGGAGGATCACTTGAGCCCAGGAGTTTGAGACCAGCCTCGGCAACATAGAGAGACCTAGTCTCTAAAAATAATAAAAAAATTTAGCCAGGTGTGATGGCATACACCTGTGGACCCAATTCCTCAGGCTCCTCAGGAGGCTGAGGTGGGAGGATTGCCTGAGCCCAGGAGGTCAAGGCTGCAGTAAGCCATGAAAACGTCACTGCACTCCAGCCTAGGTGACAGAGAAAAACGCCGTCTCAAAAAAAAAAAAAAAAAAAAATTCAAATGCATATCATATTAAAGAGAAAATACTAAAAGGCAGGACAAAATGTAAATGTAAATTTAAATGTGCCAAATATTTAAAACTTCCAAATGCAAAACCCAAACATACAGATCTTTTTAGAGTCTTATCATTAAGCATAGAGTAGTATATAAAATAATTTGGGAGGTAGAGATAAAAAAAAGATGTGGGAATGAAATTGGAAGATGTCTAGCAATCAAAATTTAAGAAAAGTGTTTTAAGATATAAAACCTCATTTCTTCAAGAATCCAAAATATTTCACTATCAAAGATACATTTTAAAATTAGATGACTTAGGCCCAGCAAAGCGAACACTCTCCTACAATTGCATTTCTATTCATCTTTTAAATTATTTTCTTTCGTAGGTTTCTAGGAAACTTGACTGGCTGCAAAATACCCTTAAGATTTATCATTTGTCTGAAAATATAGATGATATCACTGAAGGTGGAAAATTCACTCAATGTACTAAACTGGCCACAATACTGAGTGATTAGCTTTGGTTTTGTAAATCACGGCACTGAAATAATGTAGTCATACTAATGATTGTTGGTGTCTTTTAAGAAACTGAATCTTTAAGTTGAAATTGTTTACTAATTCATAACTCAAGGAAATACTTTAAGAAGTAAAAGTTAAATCAAAAAAGCATGTATTACTTCTAGAGTTTGATGACAACTACTTTTTTCTTCATTCTGCAAATTCTAATATTTTAAGGGGCTACTGCCTAAGATCTTACATTTCTCTTTACAGTTGGCATCAGATATTGTCTTCTTTGATGGAAGCTTCATTTAAGAATGTGAAGATTCTGGCCGGGTGCGGTGGCTCAAGCCTGTAATCCCAGCACTTTGGGAGGCCGAGGTGGGTGGATCACGAGGTCAGGAGGTCGAGACCATCCTGGCTAACACGGTGAAACCCCATCTCTATTAAAAATACAAAAAAATTAGCCGGGCGTGGTGGCAGGCGCCTGTAGTCCCAGCTACTCAGGAGGCTGAGGCAGGAGAATGTCATGAACCCGGGAGGTGGAGCTTGCAGTGAGCCGAGATCGTGCCACTGTACTCCAGCATGGGCGACAGAGCGAGACTCCGTCTCAAAAAAAAAAAAAAAAAAAAAAAAAAAAAAAAAGAATGTGAAGATTCTAGGGAGGAAATACTGGCCATAAAAATAAATTTTGAGGAATATATTCACCTAAACTCTATGCGTTTTTAAAAGTGTCTGAAAACTTTGGGTAGCATTTTAAGAAGAATAAATTAAATATGGTATTAAAATTAAAGAAAACTTTGATCTGAACTCAAATTTTTTTTGTTTGTTTGTTTTGAGACGTAGTCTTGCTCTGTCACCCAGGCTGGAGTGCAGTGGCACAATCTCAGCTTACTGCAACCTCTGCCCCCCTGATTCAAACTATTCTCCCGCCTCAGCCTCCCAAGTAGCCGGGATTACAGGTGCCGCCACCACGCCCAGCTAATTTTTTTTTTTTTTTTGTATTTTTAGTAGAGACGAGATTTCATCATGATGGACAGGCTGGTCTCAAACTCCTGACAGGTGACCCACCCACCTGGGCCTCCCAAAGTGCTGGGATTACAAGCGTGAACCACCATGCCCAGCCTGAATTCAACTTTTAATAATAAAATACATAATTTAAAAATAACATAATAAAAGTACCCAAGATTAAACTATAAAGGATACAGCATAGTGAAAAAAAGTTTGCCTAGATCAGAAGCCAGAAGACTATTTTGCACTTTCTCTTACTAATACGATCTTGGGAAACTCCTTCAACTATTCTGACTTGCTTTCCCTTTTGTAAATGGGAAATAATACTTGTAAAGTACTAACAGAGTTCCTCAAAGAATAAAATAAGACTGAAAATTATAATGTATTACAGCAAGGGAAGGCATTACTTAAAAATAATCCTAGAGGCGGGGCGCGGTGGCTCATGCCCATAATCCCAGCACTTTGGGAGGCCGAGGTGGGTGGATCACAAGGTCAGGAGATCCAGACCATCCTGGCTAACACAGTGAAACCCCGTCTCTACTAAAAATGCAAAAAATTAGCCGGGCGTGGTGGTGGGCGCCTGTAATCCCAGCTCCTCGGGAGGCTGAGGCAGGAGAATGGCGTGAACATGGGGGGCGGAGCTTGCAGTGAGCCAAGATCACACCACTGTACTCCAGCCTGGGTGACAGAGCGAGACTCCGTCTCAAAAAACAAAAACAAAAAAGTATATAATATATATGTATACAAAATAATTGCAGAAATCATCAGTGTCACAAGGGTTAGGATTCTTTTTTTTTCTTTTCTTTTTTTTTTTTTTTTTTTGAGACGGAGTCTCGCACTGTCACTCAGGCTGCAGGGCAGTGGCAAGATTTCGGCTTACTGCAACCTTCGCCTCCCCCGTTCAAGTGATTCTCCTCCCGAGTAGCTGGGATCACAGGCGCCCACCGCCACACCCGGCTAATTTTTGTATTTTTAGTAAAGACGGGGTTTCACCATGTTGGCCAGAGTGGTCTCAAACTCCTGACCTCAAATGATCCACCCACCTAGCCTCCCAAAGTGCTGGGATTACAGGCGTGAGCCACAAGAGTTAGGATTCTTTTTAAATGACTGTGAAAACTCCACAATGTAACACAGTTAGACTGTATTAAAGTGGTTACATTCATCTTACACATATTGGCAAAATAGCTAGGATGGCAAGCTTTCTGCTCAAGTATTTAAATGTTGTTAAGAGTAGGCCAGGCCTGGTGGCTCACACCTGTAATCCCTTCAATTTTGGAAGGTCCAGGTGGGTGGATCCCTGGACTTAGGTCACATTTTTTTGTTGAAAAAACCAAAGTATATATATTTAGTTTCTGATATTTACTTCACGAACCAGTCTTACCAACTTGTTTTTTTTTTTTTTTTGAGACGGAGTCTTGCTCTGTCACCCAAGCTGGAGTGCAGTGCAACCTCTGCCTCCTGGGTTCAAGCGATTCTTATGCCTCAGCCTCCGAGTAACTGGGATTACAGGCATGCGCCAATACGCCTGGCTAACTTTTTTTTTTTTTTTTTGTATTTTTAGTAGAGACGGGGTTTCGCCATGTTGCCAAGGCTGGTCTCGAACTCCTGACCTCAAGGGATCCACTCACCTGGACCTTCAAAGTTGAAGGGATTACAGGTGTGAGCCACCAGGCCTGGCCTACTCTCAAGAACATTTAAATACTTGCAGAAAGCTTGCCATCCTAGCTATTTGCCAAGCTGGATACAGAGGGGCAGTACATTGTCCTTTATTTGTTCTCTTATTCCTACCTAAGGACTGGATACAAGCTTTCTTTTTTTTTTTTTTTTTTTTGAGACGGAGTCTCGCTCTGTCACCCAGGCTGGAGTGCAGTGGCCGGATCTCAGCTCACTGCAAGCTCCGCCTCCCGGGTTTACGCCATTCTCCGGCCTCAGCCTCCCGAGTAGCTGGGACTACAGGCGCCCGCCACCTCGCCCGGCTAGTTTTTTGTATTTCTTAATAGAGACGGGGTTTCACCGTGTTAGCCAGGATGGTCTCGATCTCCTGACCTCGTGATCCGCCCGTCTCGGCCTCCCAAAGTGCTGGGATTACAGGCTTGAGCCACCGCGCCCGGCCTGGATACAAGCTTTCTTAAACCAAGAATAGATTTTCTCACCAAGAGAGTCATGGCTTTTGGAAAACAGTGTAGTTCCAACTTTCCTCAATGTCCACAGCTTCAGCTAGAAGGGACACAATATTGCAGGGGTCCATGGAAGGGCGGCTTGAACAATTCTCTTCTACTCTGCAAACAGATGCTCTTACGTTGGCTAACTGGGTATTAGTGTGGGCTTATCCTGAAGAGCAGCATTTGATGAACTACCACAGCTGGGAATTAACAGAAAGGGCTGCCCCATGCGGAATGGCAAAGCCAGCATGCAGTTTGTATTACATACGTCCACTCTGAATCTCTTCATTCTTCTCTCATGCAGGTGAGGAACGAGCTGCAGCAACGGATGCACAACAGATGACTGAGAGGACATGAACACACACGCGATGAGCACATGGCTTCTCAGCACTGGCCATCAAGACGCTTCCTCCTCCTATTTGTTTTTGTTTTTACCCACTAAACTTGTCCCAGACAAAACGGAAAATTAAAGATGTCACCTAAAACAGCTCTTTGGGAGCAATTCAAAGAACTATGGAGAATGAACCAAGAGATGGGATAAAATTTGGTAGCTCTACACTGGGATTTTTGTCCTCATATTGAGAAGAAGCACTTTCCCAACAGCTGCAGCTCTCTCGTGAACTGTCAGCAAGTAAAACCCCTCATTGCCTCTTTGAGAGGCAAAAGGCAGTCTGTCTGTTACTAGACTTAGTCAGAATAATTCGGGCCAGGCAAAACCCACACTGCCAGTAGCAATTTTCCACTATAAACATGTTTATCTGGAAGATTATACTATACACACATCTAATAACCTCCTTTATAAATTATATACTTAAAATAGAAACATTGGGAGCAACACAACAATGTGTGAAAATGACAATGTGTTCTCAATAGTGAAAATTGTGACTAAGATACATTTTCCCAAAATGTAAAGGTGCCAAGCCAAAGAAAATGAAAGCACACTTGAGACATATAGCTACCTACCTGCTATGGCTGCATTTTTAAAAAAGGTATGGGTCACACTGAGACTTCTCATTAATGTTAAATTCATTTATGACATGGATTATGTTGAGCCCTATATAACAGTTATCTGTTAACTAATTCAACTTGTACTTGGTGTAAAGCCAGTATAATCTTTCGCCTCCTCATATGTTAAGAATATTCCATGTGATAAATATTTCAAACTGAGTTTAAGATTACAGTTACCTTTCCATAGGTATGTATCTGCTTAAAATACACTATGCTCCTCATTCCCTAAATTGGTTCACGGAAGTGAATCACAAGTGTGGAAATAATATTATAGTCAAATAATTTCTAAGTATTCTAGATTGAAACACCAAGTAGGCTGGTTAGCATTTTTAAAATCCATGCCTACAAAAAGAAAAACTACTGCTAATACTACATGATTTTAAAGTGAACTGAATTCAAGTTACTGGTTTTTGGCTAACCTTAGAGAATACATTCGCACATTAAATGTCTAATTACTAATAAGAACATCTTAGGAATAGAAGAGGATATTTCTAATTATATTTAATTACATTTTCGACAATCATCCTTTAAAATAAAAAATGCCCTTGGATCAAATGATTTTTTAATTTGCAACAATTGCCATCTGAAACAATATGTTTTACTTATTTATTTGCTTTTTTATTTTCTTGGTCTTTAGAATGTGTTTCACAAAAGCAGGGACTTTTCTTTTCTTTTCTTTTTTTTTTTTTGAGACAGAGTATCACTCTGTCGTCCATGCTAGAGTGCAGTGGCGTGATCTCAGCTCACTGCAACCTCCACCTCCTGGGTACAAGCAATTCTCTTGCCTTAACCTCCCGAGTAGCTGGGACCACAGGCGTGCATCACCACACCTGGCTAATTTTTGTATTTTTATTAGAGACAGGGTTTCACCATGTTGGCAAGGCTGGTCTTGAACTCCAGACCTCAAGTGATCTGCCTGCCTCGGCCTCCCAAACTGCTGGGATTACAGGCACGAGCCACCATGCCTGGCCAGGGATTTCTTTTTTAAATTTTGTTTTATTTATTGCTATATTTCTAGTACCTAGAATTGTGCCTGGCACATAGCATATAGCTAATACTTTGTAAATAACTGTTAAAGAATGAATGAATTAAAGAATGAATTTAATGTACAGGTAGTAATTGACATATAAAATAAATCAAATGGATAATAAATATTGAATTTCATTCTTTTACTCACATATAAACTTTTAAAGTAAAAAATTTGAATTCTGATGTAGCTCTGTTATGCTGCAAAAACAGGTTCATTATTTTAAACAAATATTAGTGATTACTAAGAAGTAGTTCTACAACTTACCACAACATTTGAATTGCCCAACTTCTGTGTCTTCGAATAATGAAATAAGAACTGTTTTAAAAAAACAGTAAGTTTTACTATAAGAATTAATGGTTTCCTTATTATTTTATAAGGTATAGATTTATGAAAATCATCTTACCCTTTTAGTATTATCTTTTTCATCTTGTTCCTATTGAAAAGAGATATTATATCATTATATATTGTAAAATTTTACTATCTTATATACAATAATTTTATAATGTTATAGCACATAATTGTTTAAAACACATGACTCATGTTACATATAAAATATGATTGAAATTAGTTAAGCATCCGTTGCTCTAAAAATAAATGGGAAATTAATTGAATATTGTTTACAAATACGATGTGCATAAAGATCTCTTTACTGCAACTTTATTCATAAGAGTGAAAAATTGGAAACATCCTAAATATTCAACAGTGGTAGAATGCGAAATTATTATATCATGACATGATGGAATATTCAGAGGAGAAGACTGAAAGAATCACATGAAAGTATTTTTACTGTTTATCACTAAATAAGAAGGTTATGAGTTGTTTTTGATGTCTTTCATAAAACAATTTTTAGCCGGGTGCAGTGGCTCACACCTGTAATCCCAGCACTTTGGGAGGCCGAGGTGGGCAGATCATGAGGTCAGGAGATTGAGACCACCCTGGCTAACACGGTGAAACCCCGTCTCTACTGAAAAAAGACAAAAAATTAGCCGAGCGTGGTGGCACGTGCCTGTAGTCCCAGCTACTTGGGAGGCTGAGGCAGAAGAATGGTTTGAATCCGGGAGGCAGAGCTTGCAGTGAGCCGAGATGATGCCACTGTACTCCAGCCTGGGTAACAGAGCAAGACTCCGTCTCAAAAAAAAAAAAAAAAAAAATTTAAATTGTATAATTCCTTTTTTGTTGTTGTTCTTTCTCACTTGTTTTTAATACAAATGGAAGATCATGAATAAACACCATTGTCATTTATTTTATCTTAATTAGGAAAAAAATCAATTATGCTTTTTGGGACAATGTCACCGATAGAAACAATGGATAAATATACAATTGTAGGCAGAAATTATTTAGTTTCATAAAACATTTATGCTTTCAAATTATCAATTTTTTTCTTTGAATTATCATATATAAAAGGTATGAAAGTCAGAGTGTACCAATGACCACAGATTAAGTTAGAATTGCAAATGAAAAGTATAATTCCAAACCTGAAGCTCTCATTTTTAATAAAGTAGCTTAAAAATAAGTTCATCCATAAGACAGAGATTATAAAATTAGGTATAGTGCTTATGCTACTTTTCAAGTTTCCATCTACCCTCACTGTAGGACAAAAAGTTCTCCCAGAAGAATCAAGTAATTTTAATAAGAAACCAAGACAATGACAATACAATTTGCTTTTGTTTTGCATTCTTAATGTCCTACTCTCCCACAAGGTACAATGTCCTAACCTTTGAACCATTAGATGTGCTTAGCAGCTTAGAAAGATGCATCTGTTCTCCAAAGTAGCATGAGTCAGGGCAAAAAAAGAGAGCCAACATGACCCCATATTTATTCCTCCGGACTGGAACTCATTTTATATTTGATAGGGACATATGATTTCCCAATTAGATTACTGTAAGCTCCATTAATATGATGCTCAATTCTCAGACATCAGAGAAACTGAATTATTTCTTATCCAAAAACAATGTTTCCTCTTCTAACTTGTCTTGGCATGCTTCCTAAATTGAGTATATTTTCTTCCAGGAAAAATTCCAAGAAATTTTTGGATAATTTTTGTCTACAAACAAAACACTATTTCAACCTTACCTGAGGCTTTGGTAGCATTCCCATAATCACAAAGCAAAGCTCCTCCAGTGCATTGGATGCCTGACAGAAATGAGAAGATATGTAAGTTATGCTTCTGCTTTAACGACATTTACATAGAAGAGATAACTATAAAATGTTAGGGGCATGAGGAAATGCTAACTACCTAGAAAAGAATCCTTCCGTAGATTATTAAAACTGCTGGAATCCTTTGATTTCTCTCACAACAAAAACTTGGCTGTAAAAGTAAAGCCTTCCTTCTCACCAGAAACAACAAAAAAAGGTAAGTACTGTACATACGCACTCATGAAGGCTTCCACTGTGATCTAGATACATAGTTCTCAGCACTTGCTAAAATATTATGAAATTCTATGACTGAGGGTAACAAGGGACAGTGCCAGAAGAGGAATTATTCTTCCCAGCTTGTAGCAAAATCTGCATCTACATGCCAAAGCTGTGAACCTCACTGAATATTACTCATTATTGGCTAATCTGAAAATCCGGCAATTGCTCGAAAACAATGGGAAGTGGAGGAGAAGAAGCCATGTGTGGTGCACCTAATCTGCGTACCACCCTTCCACGTTGCTGACTGCACACCCCAGGATCAGGTTTTTCAAAGCATTCAAACACAGAAGTAGGGCAGGGCTCTGTGGTTAGCAGCCAGCTGGGTGTGGTAAGGAGTAGAAGAAATGGACAAGCAGGGGCGAAACCTGCTTTGCACAGGGTTTAGCACAGTAGCACCATAAACAATTGATTACTTAATATATGCATTTTGGAAGTAATGAAGAACTAGAACAGTGGGGAGGGCAATATAATTAGTGGTTAAAAGTATGAGCTATGGAGTTGGGAAGGCTGTAACTCTACGCAGTGCAAATTCCATTTCTGCTCTTTATTAGCTGTGTAACCTTGGGCTGGTTACCTAACCTCTCTAAATTTCTGTTTATTCAGCTCTAAGCTGGGGACGACATCACTGCAGAGAGTTCTTAGAAGAATTAAATGTAGGTAAAGTTCTCAGGTTGATTTACAGCTGAAGTGATTCTTAATTTAGAAGTTATATGAAAAAGAGGTCGGGTGCAGGGGCTCTCGCCTGTAATCCCAGCACTTTGGGATGCCGAGGCAGGCGGATCTCCTGAGGTCAGGAATTCGAGATCAGCCTGGCCAACATGGTGAAACCTAGTCTCTACTAAAATACAAAAAATTAGCTAGGCATGGTAGCACGCGCCTGTAATTCCAGCTACTAGGGAGGCTGAGGCAGGAGAATCACTTGAACCTGGGAGGCAGAGGTTGCAGTGAGCTGAGGTGGCGCCACTGCACTCCAGCCTGGATGACGGAGTGAGACTCTGTCTCAAAAAAAAAAAAAAAAAGAGAGATATATGAAAATAATTGTTCAGGGCCTCAAGTAGTCTCACCTTCTCTCCCTTTGAACAACAGTACATGCTTGACATGGTTGGTTGTGGTTCGAGATGCAGGTGGAGTCGACAGTTTTCCTGTGCACCCTTCCTAGCATCAGAGGTCTGCTTTGTTCTCTTCATTCCATTTGTTTGCTTGTCATGCAAATTCTTGGGTTATTTATTAATAATGCCTCACATGTACATAGTGTTTCAATAAATTATAAAACACTTTCATATACAGTCATGCACCACATAATGGCATTTCAGTCAATCAGTCAATGATAGAGTGCATACACAATGGTGGTCACATAAGATTATTATGAAGCTGAAAAATTCCTATCATCTAGTCATAGCTTGATGATCCTGACCTGTGTAGGCCTAGACTAATATGAATGCTTATGTCTTCATTTTTAACAACAAAGTTTAAAAAGTCAAAAAAAAATTCTTTTTAATTTCAAAAGCTTATAGAATGAGGATATAAAGAAAGAAAATATTTACATACACCTGTTCAACGAATTTGTGTTGTAAGCCAAGTGTCATTACAAAAGAGAAAAAAGTTCTAAAATATTAAAAAGTTGGCCAGGAACGGTGGCTCATGCCTGTAATCCCAGCACTTTGAGAGGCCGAGGTGGAAGAATTGCTTGAGCCCAGGAGTTTCAGACCAGCCTGGACAACATAGCAAGATCCTGTCTTTACAAAAAATACAAAAAATTAGCCAGGTGTGGTGGTGCATGCCTATAGTCCCAGCTACTCAGGAGGCTGAAATGGGAGGATCATCTGAGCCCAGGAGTTTGAGTCTACAGTGAGCCATGATTATGCCACTGCACTCCAGCCTGGATGACAGAGTGAGATCCTGTCTTGAAAAAAAAAAAATTAAAAGTTTATAAAGTATAAAAGTTATAGTAAGCTAAGGTTAATTTATTATTGAAGAGAGAAAAATTTTTAAATAAATTTAAAGCAGCCTAAGTTTACAGTGTTTATGAAATCTGCAGTAGTGTATAGTAATGTCCTAGGCCTTCACATTCACTCATTACTGACTCATTGACTCACTCAAAGCAACTTCCAGTCTTTCAAGCTCCATTCATGGTGAGTGCCCTACACAAGTGTATCATTTTTTATCTTTTATATTATGTATTTACTGTACTTTTTCTACATTTAGATATGTTTAGATACATATTGTGTTACAACTGCCCACAGTATTCATTACAGTAATGTGCTGTACAGGTTTGTAGTCATATAGCCTAGGTGTGTAGTAGGCTGTACATCTAGATTTGTGTAAGTACACTCTATGATCTTTACACAATGACAGATCATCTAAGGACACGTTTCTCAGAATGTATATCCCCATTGTTAAGTGATGCATGACTATACATAATTTGTATTCTGTCCTACACAGGACATGAATTGTGATTCTCATATACAGAGGAAGTGAGGTTCTAAGAGACTGTCACTTGCCCAATACCACACATGGCTAGGAGTTGGAGGAGCATGGCCTGGGACCTTGGCCTTCTGATTTGTAGATATTCTTGTGTTGCTTTGGTATTGCCTGCTAAGCCTAGAGTTGGGAGTTGGCAGCGAGAAAAACTAGAGTGTGAACACTGATACATCCTTTCTCACTGGTTATACTTAAGGGCTGAATACACAGGTCACCCCACAAAAATATGAAATAAAATCCCTAAAACTTCTCTTACCAGCCTAGGCAAGATGGTGAGACCCCCATCTGTACACAAAATTTTTTTCTTTTAATTAGCTGGGCATGGTGGCATGCGCCTGTAGTCCCAGCTATTCAGGAGGCTGAGCTGGAAGGATTGCTTGAGCCAAGGAGTTTGTAGATGTGGTGAGCTACACTTGTACCACTGCATTCCAGCCTGGGATAGAGTGAGACCCTATCTCTAAAAACAAAAACAAAATGCTCCACTTACGATCATTTCAAAATAGAAAATACAAAACAATAAGAAAAAAATACGCAGTGATATCATGTGTCAAAAATGTATTTCACCTCAAAGAAGAACACTTATAGCTGATTTCAAAATAGAAAATACGAAACAATAAGAAGAAAATATCTACAATGTCATGTTTCAAAAATGTATTTCAACTCAAAGAAGAATAAATTCACACATGTGAGCTGTTTCTCCTTAGGAAACAGTTTCTAAGCTGGATGAGGTTCAGTAAGATTGTACTTTGACTGAAAAAGTTTCAAAGCAAATGCATTTTCCCCAACTCCCCTTTACAAGAAGTCAATTCTCAACTATTCTTCAAGGATTGAAATACATGAAAGTTTTAATATCTTATTTTTAAATTTATAGACCTTAAAGATAACATTTTCTACTTGGTAAAAATGTTTCAAAGCAATGGTCACATAATCACATAAATAATAAGATAATAGTGTATGTGAAAATTAACAATGTTTTAAAATTTTATCAAATTTGGTGGTACATATACACCACTGAATACTATGCAGCCATAAAAAAGAATGAGATCATGTCCTTTGCAGCAACATGGATGGAGCTGGAGGGTATTACCCTAAGCTAAATAACACAGGAACAGAAAACCAAATACCACATGTTCTCACTTGTAAGTAGGAGCTAAACACAGATGCACATGGCCAAAAAGAAGGGAACAATAGATACCAGGGCCTACTTGAGGGTGGAGGGTGGGAAGAGGGTTAGGATCAAAAAATTACCTATCTAGTAATATGCTTATTACCTGGGTGATGAAATAATCTGTACACCAAACCTCCACAACATACTTTACCTACATAACAAAACAGCACATTTACCCCGAACTTAAAATTAAAAAAAATTATTTAGGGTCTGTGGGCTGTATCAAGGGATTTTGATATTATTCTAATTGCAATAAGAAACCGTAAGAAGATTTGGAACAAAGCAGTGATATGATGGCTTAGTATTTTAAATGACTAAGTGATGCTAAAACCTTAAATCTGAGTACAATAGCTATACTTACAACTAGTTTTCAGTTGTGTACTGAATTGCCCACTCATGAATTGAGTTTATTATCAATGTTTTGAGAAAATAATGACAATTTTTAGAAATTATAGTAATTACTGTTATGATAATATCCTCATTGAATCACGCCTCCCTGTATCCATTGCCTTTATGTAGTCAGTCCCCTAACGCAGACACTGAGTGTGGCCCCCCACATTGACTCTGTGTCTTGCTTTGGCCAGTGGGGCATGAGTAAACATGTTACAAGCAGACGTTTGAAACCCACTTAGGTAATGAGCTTGCTCTCCCCACTGCTGGTGGAACCCAGCAACCATGTGAAAAAGTTCAGACTAGCCTGCTGGACTGTAAGTAACACTTCGCCCAGCTACCTCCACCACCCCTGCTAATAGCCAGCCAACGATCACCAAGCATATGAAGAAACCCAGCCACAGAAATAAGCCCATAAAATGATATATTCCCAAAACATCAGGAATACAATTTTTAAAAACAATTCCTAATTTATTAATATTACTTATTCCTGTGAAGGTACCCAAATACAGTTACTACACATAAACACCATTCCAAAGAGATGCATCTGTATTCATTTAGCAGCTATTTCTAGGGAAGGGACTTGTAAATCTATCTCTTTTATACAATTTATTTCATTTATTTCCTTTGAATTTTGAATAATTCATAATTTCACACGTTTCAAAGCAAAAAAATTATAAGATGATATCCAGTTAAAAAGTCCTCCTTTTTCTGTTCTATCCACCTAGGACTCCCCTTCCACATAACCATTATCATTTATTTTGTATGTATTCTTCCAGAATTTATATTTTTTATTTGAGAGCTAAATCAGTAAAACCATATTTATATGGTTTTTAAACTAGTGAATGGGCCATAAAAACAGATGATATAATGATATTTGTTACAAGAGAAAAATTTCTGCATAGCATGCTTGCAGCTGGGTTTTATTAACAAAGTAATTAAAGAGATATTTACTGAGTCTCTTCTCAAGCATGATTCTAGGTGCTGGCTATAAATGTATCCCATATAAGAACATCACCAATATACTATGGTGAAACCAAAATTAGGTTTTAATGCATAGCTTTAATTTCACATGTAATAAAACAATATTTTTTAAAGTATTAAATTTATTACTATTTACATTATAAATGTAAAAGTTACAAATAGTAAATTTACTAAGCTCCTCTTGAAAGAGGCACAGTACTGAAATCCAGTCAAACATTAGTTTATCTTGATGAAGTTTAAATGAGCGCTTTAAAATTCATCCTCTTAGTACTGAAGACCTAAAAGTGATTTTGAGGATGTTCCTGAATTTTAAATACAACACAAATGCATATATACTGATTAATATCTATCTCATGTTATTAATATATATCTGCCAATGCTCCTGGATTAATTTGAAATATTGTTCAAAAACGTCATCTATGGTGATCTTGTTCTTGCTTTACTACCTAAAACCTCAAATTTCTAGCAGGTACCTAGGGTATAGATTGAGGCAGGAGAAATACAACACTATACAAGGCTGCTTCTTCACACCGGCCAGGAAAACACAAATGGAGACTGTGTGACCAACAGCCTGGACACCTTGGCCAGACTGTGTAGGGAGTATGCCCCAGGCGCATAGTTGATGACTCTGAAAGCAGCATCATCCAGTAAAGACAATGTAAGAACACACTTATTCCCCACTCCTTAAGTGTCCATGTGGAGGGGCTAGATTAGCACTCCTGGCCTCTTTCCAAAACCTTCTCTTAATTCTTTTCTATTGAAGAGGAGTGAGCTGTCTGGTAGGTGAACTGAGAGGAAGAAATTGGGCATGTTCAGTTCAGCTCCTTCCTCTATGGAGTCAGTGTTCTTACTCTGGTCAGCTGTTCTTGCCTGGTCTCTGCCCTGTGGCTGAGAATCTGACTGGTGGAAAGCTCAGAGTCACTGTCTGAGACTTGCAGGCAGGTTTAATTCTGGAGGCAATTATAGCAGACACACTTGATATCAGATCTGAAGCCCCAGTCACAAATGGACTTTTCCATTATAATGACGATATTTTGACCTCCAAAAGTCTGACTCATAAATTCATCTCTCAATGGGTTTCGAACTCAATTGGGAGATAGGATATTTGTCCCCAAATACAGCAATAGATACAGTATTTTAAATTTTTGTAATTATTTAAACTTTTATTTTAGGTTCAGCAGTACATGTGCAAGATTGTCATATAGGTTAACTTGTGTCACAGGGTTCTGTTATACAGATTATTTCGTGACCCAGGTACTAAGTCTAGTACCCAATAGTTATTTCTTCTGATCGTCTCTCTCTTCCCACCTCCACCCTCAAGTAGGCCCTGTGTCTGTTTTCCCCCTCTTTGTGTTCATGTGTTCTTATCATTTAACTCCCACTTGTAAGTGAGAACATGCAGTATTTGGTTTTCTGTTCCTGTGTTAGTTTGCTTAAATTTTTACTAATATGATTTGGTAGAGACAGGGTCTTGCTATGTTGCCCAGGCTAGTCTCGAACTCCCAGCCTCAAGTGATCCTCCCACCTGGACCTCTCAAAGCACTGGGATTATAGGCATAAGCCACTGCACCCTGACAGTTATAGTATTTCTAACTTAACATATAATTTGATTTTGAAATTAACATTTTAATTTGACATTACAAAATATGTGTATATTATCTGCAAATCTATTTTATTTAGAGATGAAAGCCCTAGCATATTACAACACAAGCCCACAGTATTGATTATTATCTGCAGCAAATGTAATAATATCTCATATGTTGACATGTTTTCGTGAGCACGTAAAGGTTCCAAAGGCAGCAATGGAGAGTTTAAGCACTACACAAACACCTACATTATGACAAAATACCTTCAATTGGAATTACCTGAGGCTGGGAATCAATGGACAGAAAAGACGAACAAGCATCATCTATCTGTAGAAAACAAAAATGTCAGTTACATCCTGGGAATGGACAGAAAATAACAGAGAGTAGATTTTACAAAGGCACATTACCTATGGAATATTAACCACAGTTCCATGACAGTTTAGGACTCTGGATTTGGAAGAGAGGAGCCTCAAAAACTTTATAAGAAAGTCTTGGAAATGAGACTTCCCTCAAGATGTCACCCTAACCACAGGGTATACGTCTCTAGTGACTGCTGACGGGGACCATCCTAGGGCATGGAGATGCCTCACATTAATATATTGAGGAAAAGACTGTCACGTATTATTTTGTCTGAGAAATGTGAGAGCTGACTAAAGAATGAGCTTAAAATTAAGGCAGACCTTTGGTTACCATATGGTTCTGTATGACACACGAACCTAATGTCACCTAAATTAACATAATAACAGTATGATAAACAGCATGCCAGAAAAATTGTTCATACAACATAGGCAATCCACTAGATCTCTCCCATGAAACCAGTATTGGAAGAGAGTTCTATTTTATAATGAGGGTTTACTGAGCTACAGTTGGCAACTATTCTCAGCCCTTATCCTAAAAAGAAAACTTGAGACTTTAAATGGTAGAATGAGAGATTCATATTAATCATAAAAACTATGCTGAGAATTTAAGCACTAAGCTGGATGTATGGCATTGTTTATGACATTTATTTCTTTGATGGCCTTTTAAAATGGAACTGGAAAAAATGGTACTGATTCTTGTCTCTCTGGAATGATTGAGGTTGAGTCCTATTTATGGCATTCCATCTCAGAGGCCCGTTTCAGTCCCAGAATTCTTCTTCTCATACCAGGGGGTGGATTATTATACTTCACTGTCATAAATTCTCAAGCTCCTCATTGCTTTTAAGTTGAACATGTCCTAAAATATATTATTTCCTAACTTAGAGAATAACAAAGGTATAAGATAATATAGAAAAGCATAAGCTTATGTCTCCTTCCTTTTTATCCTCACAGAACTTTTATCCTCCTTTTATCTTCATCTTCCCTTTATTTCCCAAATATTTGGGGAATTGTTTGTTCCACTCATCCTTTGCGCCCACCCAGCTGGTCCCTCTTCCATGCCTTACAAACCTGAAATCATGGTCGCACACACACACACACACACACACACACTCTCTGGGTAGGGGCCATGTCATTGCTAAATCGGCCAGAATAAGTGTTTAACAAAAATCCTTTAATTACGTTGAATTAAACTTGCGGGGGAAAAAAGTGAATTGAGAGGGCAAAGTCAAAAAGATAACCATTTTAAAGCTCTGACTTTTGAGCAATGCTTACTACATCACCTCCAAATGTCACCTTCTGTGGTTTAGTAGGGTAAAAGTAAGTAGTTTCTCCTGAGTTTTTTATGGTGTGCAGGTATCTGAACACATTACCCACTCCAGGGGAACGTTGTCCACACACAGACCAGGCTGCCCGTCTATGTGAGGTGGCCCATGTTCAAGAACAGAGAACCTTTGAATCTCAGGACATCAACGCCATTTGAATAAAAACATGACACTTTAAAAAACCCCCGTTAGTCAAATTAGGAGATAGCTGCAAAGTTTTTCAGTCTTTTCTCACATTTCTTTGAAGGACACAGGAACACTGCTTGCCCACTTTCCATTTGAGTAAGCGTTTGTTCATTGTACTCAGCATATGGCTCTAATGGTTTTTTATGCCACTGATTGCTTTTGAGAACTCTGTAGAGACCATTGGTAAATCTCATTGAAAATGTTTAGGTCTCTATATATGGTTAGGAAGAATGTGTTTCTAGTGTCTGGGTAGCTCTGTATTTATTTATTTATTTATTTATTTTTATTTTACTTTAAGTTCTGGGAAACGTGCAGAACGTGCAGGTTTGTTACATAGGTATACACATGCCATGGTGGTTTGCTGCACCCATCAACCCATCATCTGGGTTTTAAGCCCTGCATGCATTAGGTATTTGTCTTAATGCTCTCCCTCCCCTTACCCCCCAAGCCCCTCCCTGTGTCCATTTGTTCTCATTGTTCAACTCCCACTTACGAGTGAGAACATGTGATGTTTGCTTTTCTGTTCCTGTGTTGGTTTGCTATAGCTCTGTAATTTTTAAATCTTCAAGCAGAAAAATTAACTATATGTTCCCAGCATCTTCACTTCTTTTTTTCTTTCTTTTTTTTTTTTTTTTTTTGAGATGAGGTCTGGCTGTCACCCAGACTGCCAGACTGGAGTGCAGTGGTACAATAAGAGCTCACTGCAGCCTTGACTTCTTGGGCTCAAGTGATCCTCCCACCTCAGCCTCTTGAGTAGGTGGCACCACAGGCAAGCACCACCATGCCTGGCATATTTTTTATTATTTATAGAGATGAGGTCTCACTATGTTACCCAGGCTGGTCTTCAACTCCTGAGCTCAAGGGATCCTCCTGCCTCAGCCTGTCAAAGAACTGGTATTAGGCCTGAGTCACCGTGCCCAGCTGCATCTTAACTTGTTTAAATATCTTTTTTTCTGTAAAAGAATGTATACTGCTTTTGCAACTCTGAGTTTTTTCCAGCATTATCATCTAAAGTATTTTTCCAAATATTTTCCATGGAAATATAGAATATTTCAAGCTAAAATAAATGTGTCTGTACTATACATTAATATCTGTTATCTAAGTCACTCTTCATCTTATTTATATTTCCAGCATGTACCTAGATATTCTACCAAGGCAGAGGCCCTTGTAATACACACTTGATGAATTTCTATACTATTGAAGACTGTTTTGTACTTGGCACTTGGCATCTATCTTATCTTTTCCCTTATGTATTTTGTTAGGGGTGGCCTAGGTACAAAGGGTACTCTTCTCAGTTCATAGCTCACTATCATCATTAGCCTTGCTTTATTTATTTATTATTTTTGTATTTCCATTTCCTACCCCCATTCCACCCTCCTATAGGCAACTCTTCTAGTGTATTTGAGGCATATCCTCCATTTGTATATGTTTTTGTAAAACCCATATTGTTGTTTTGTGTGCATGTATATTTTCTTACTTTTTTTCCACTTAACACTATCCACTGAGACCTATCCATGTTGCTGGGTGTGTATCTAGCATGTTGCTTCAAGTGCTGTAGTATATTCTATAATGTGTGCCCACCACATGTTGCCTAACCACTCCCCGGTGAGAGACAGCTGGGTTCCCTCCAATTCCTCCCACTATAAGCAAAGCTATAATCAACCTCCTTGAATCTGTCCTCCACTTATGGATCTGTGGGAGAATATCTTTGGGCTATCTACCCAGGAGAGGGAATGCTGGATCATGGGGATATCTAGGTTGTTTTCTAGATGGCTCTACCAGTTGGCACTCTGCCCAGCAATGCATGAGGGTTTGTAGACCCCACATCCTTGTTAACATTTGTGATTAACTAGATTTCAATTGTTTTGCTAGTCTAATAGGTAGAAAGTGATACTTTGCTCTTGTCCCAATTTTCATTTCATTGTTACTAATGAACATGTTTATATGTTTTAGATGTTTGTTAACCTTTTGAACTTCCTCTTCTGTAAACTGTTCTTATCCTATGACTATTTTTATTTTGAAGTCTTATCTTTATCCAGTTGATTTGGTGTAGTTTCTTATAGAATCTAGAAAAGCAACCCCGTATCGGTTTTAGATATTGTCAATATCTTCTTTGAAAGGCTCTTACCAGCTGGGCAGGGTGGCTCACATCTGTAATTCCAGCACTTTGAGAAGCCGAGGTGGGCGGATCACTTGAGGTCAGGAGTTCGAGACCGGCCTGGCCAACATGGGAAGACCCTGTCTCCACTTAAAATACAAAAACTAGCTGGGCATGGTGGCACGTGCCTGTAGTCCCAGCTACCCAGGAGGCTGAGGCACGAAAATCACTTGAACCCAAGGAGGTGGAGGTTGCAGTGAGCAGAGGTCACACCACTATACTCCAGCCTGGGTGACAGAGCAAGACCCTGTCTCAAAAACAAAAACAAAAAACCAACAAAGGCTCTTACTTTTTTCCATGGAGTCCTTTGCTGAAATAATTTTCACTTTTAATGTAATTTAATTCATGAATGTTTTTGGCCTTACGATTTATATTTGAAGTTTCTTACGATTTATATTTGAAGTTTCATTCAAGAAGTTTTTTCCCTGCACCTAGCTAACAAAGATATTGTCCTACAAGATTTTCTACTAACTGTATAATTTACAATATATTTCCTTCTTTAAGGGTGAGGTGGCTAAGGTATTTATCTACCAACTCCCTTTGGTCTCCAATTGGGGTCTGCTCTCAGTGGTGGGGTCATTTATATTCAGGCACTTCTGGCTGGCCCAAGTACAGGCAGCACAGGAAAAGTCATGGACGCTTGCAATCAGAAACTATAAATTTCCAGTGCCCTGGGATGGCAAATGCCAAAGGGATATGACAGGTACTGGCGGTGACTGCTATACTCGCCAAGCTCTAGTCTCTGTTCCATTGGTTCATTCTGTCTGTTCTTGTGCAATTACCATGCCTCTTTTTTTAATTACTGCAGTTTTTATACTACGTCTCAATATCCAATAAGGCAATTCCCAGTAGTAGCTCTTCATATTTAAAATGTCTTCAGCTATTTGTAGACCTATATTTTTCCATATCAATTTTAGGTTAAATTTTAAGGTTTTTTTTTTTTAGGTAAATTAAATTGTTTGGGATTGCATTGATTTTATGGGATTTATATTAATTAACAAGGAAAAATGATATTTTTATTATGTTAAATTAATTGTTTCATCCAAGAGAGAATGTCTCTCCAAATACTTATATCATCATCTATTTTCTTTATTAGAAACTAATTTTCTACTGCATAAATTTAGGGTGTGTTTTTGGTTAATTCCTAAATACAGATTTTGTCACTATTGTGTATACTACGGTATTTTAAACTGTACTTTTATGTTACTTTTGCCTAGTGAAAAGAAATGTTATTGAGTCTTGTATATTGGCATTACATCCAAAAATCTCCTGAACTCTCAAACTAGTTCTAATAGTTCAAGAGCAAGAAGTTTGTTAATGCAATTCATTGCAGTTATAGACTAAAAGAGAAAAAGCATATTGTTTATCTCAATAGTGACACAAATAAAGTATCTAAGTTCACATTTTATTTAGGATTAACAAAACTCTTAGCAAGATAGGAAAATAAGAGAACTTTCTTAACTGGGTAAACGTTATGTATCGAACTTCTAGAGCAAGTTTATACTTTATGGAGAAGTTTTAGATACATTTACTGTGTAAGATAGTAAGCAGGCCTTGGCCAGTGATACAAGGAAAGAAGAAATTGTTCCTTCAGTGCTTATCATGTTACCACTGCACCTTTTTTGGCACAGCATATTGATCTAGGAATTTATCCATTTCATCTAATTTCAGAATTATTACCAGATAGCTGTCCATACTTTCTTTTTAACAGCTTTACTGAGATATAATCCACAAGCCATACAATTCACCCACTTAAAGTGCACAACTCAAAGGTTTTTAGTGTATTTACAGAGTTGTGCAACCATCCATCACACAATCAATTATCCATAATATTATTTTTAAACTTTTTTTATATCTCTATTTTTCTTGGGTTCTACCTTTTTTGGTCTATTTCTTGTTTCTTTGCCTTCCCCTTTGCCTTTTGAAATCAGTACCACCAGCGTTTAACTTACTGAAAGAACAAATACATGGTTTTGCTAAAACTGTTGCTCCACTCTTTTTAAAAAATTTATTGCTGCCATTATTATTATTACTATTATTATTTATTCTTTTTTGAGATGGAGTCTCACTCTGCCGCCCAGGCTGGAGTGCAGTGGTGCCATCTCGGCTCACTGCAACCTCCGCCTCCCAGCCTCCCAAGTAGCTGGGATTACAGGCACGTGCCACCATGTCCAGGTAATTTTTGTGTTATTAGTAGACGGGGTTTTACTATGTTGACTGGGCTGGTCTCGAACTCCTGATCTCGTGATCCGCCCACCTCGGCCCCCCAAAGTGCTGGGATTACAGGCATGAGCCAGCACGCCCTGCTTATTTTTATTATTTACTTCTTTCGTGTTTCTTCTAATTTTCCCTGTTCTTTTTCACCTCATTTTTAGCAGAATGTTTAGCTTATTAATGTTTTTAAATTTTCTTCTCTCCTGATAAACACATATGAAGCTAAAATTTCTCTCTAGCTACTGTTTTAGCTGTAGCTTATACGTTTTGAGTTATAATGTTTTTATTTTTTTCCTGAAGGTCTATCAGTTGTTAAATAAATTTTAAGGTTGCATTATTAATTTATATTAATGATGTCTATATTTTCTTGTTCTGGTTTTCTTTTATTAACATATAAGATCCTTATTTGTCTGTTATGACGGTTTATTTATTTGAATTCTATTTGATCAGATATATTCTCTTTCAGTTTGTATTTGCTTGCTACATCATTTTCCATCCTTTTATACTTAGTCTTTTTTTGTTTTCTGTTTTAAGTGTGATACTGATAGACAATATATATCTGGATCTATTTTTTAAAATCCAATCTTAGAACCTCTGTCTTTTAAGTACATACACATTTACTGTAACTACTCTGTTCTTGTATTATTCTATTTTATCCTGTTATTGGCATTTGTTTCTGCCCTCTTAACCATTTACAAAATTTTTGTTTCTTTTCTTCTTTCCTTCTCTTTTATTTAATAAAAATAGTAATTCTGGGTTTTATTATGAGATTATTGGTAAAATCATAGTTCTCCCAAAGCTCAATTATAGATTTTAACATGATAATTTCAAAGAAGGGTAAAGTTTCTACAAATTTGTGTGATGATAGTTCCTTACCTCATTCCACAACTGTAGCTGTTGTGCAGGCTGTAATCCTTGAGGTGATATTGGAGCACCTAAAAATAAAGTTATAGCCACAGGTTAATTTTATAGCATTCCTTCTAAAATTAAATATCCATATATAATTCTTTCTTGGACACTTTCTTCATTTTTCACTGTACATTATCACCCACCTATTTCAACTAAATATTTCAGCATTAGATTTAGTACAAGGAGACATAATTACTAAACAAACCTTAATAACATTACAAAGATATTACTCTCAAGAATGAATTACTTATGTCTACAGACAAATAGAAACACACCTCATGCTCATTAATTGGAAGACTGAATATTGTGAAAATGATCATACTGCCCAAAGCAATCTACAGATTCAATGCAATTCCCATCAAAATATCAACATCATTTTTTACAGAACTAGAAAAAACAATCCTAAAATAAAACCAAAAAGAGCCCACATAGCCAAAGCAATACTAAGCAAAAAGAATGCATCTGGAGGCATCACATTACTGGACTTCAAATTACACTATAAGGCTATAGTTACCAAAACTGTATGGTACTGGTATAAAAATAGGCATTTAGACCAATGGAAAAGAATAGAGAACAAAGAAATAAAGCCAAATACTTAAAACCAACTATTCTTCAATAAAGTATACAAAAACATAAATTGGAGAAAGTACACCCTTATTCAATAAATGGTGCTAGGAAAACTGACAAGCCACATACAGAAGAATGAAAGTGGATCTTTATCTCTCACCTTAAAAATCAACTTGAGACATATCAAGGACTTAAATATAAGACTTGAGACAATAAAAATTCTAGAAGGTACATTGGAAAAACGCTTTTGGACATTGGCTTAGGCAAAGAATTTGTGACTAAAACCCCAAAAGCAAAAGCAATAAAAACTAAAATAAATAAATGGGACCTAATTAAACTAAAAAGCTTCTGCACAGCAAAATAAATAATCAGCAGAGTAAACAGAGAACCCACAGAGTAGGAGAAAATATATGCAAACTATGCATCCAACAAAGGACTAGTATCCAGAATCTACGAGGAACTCAAATCAGCAAGAAAAAAACAATCCCATCAAAAAGTTGGCAAAGAACATGAATAGACATTTCTCAAAAGAAGATATACAAAGAGCCAGCAAACATATGAAAAAAAATGCTCAGCATCACTAATCATCAGGGAAATGCAAATTAAAACCACAAGTTAATACCTTACTCCTGCAAGAACAGCCATAATTAAAAAGTCATAAAACAATAGATGTTGGCATGGATGTGTAAAAAGGGTACACTTTTACACTACTGGTGGGAATGTAAACTAGTACAACCACTATGGAAAACAGTATGGAAATTCCTTAAAGAACCAAAGGTAGATCTATGGGTTGATCCAGCAATCCCACTACTGGGTATCCATCCAAAGGAAAAGAAGTCATTATATGAAAAAGACACATGAGCACACATGTTTATAGCAGCAAAATTTGCAACTGCAAAGATATGGAAACAACCTATGTTCTTATTGACCAACAAGTGGATAAAGAAAATGTGGTATATATATACACCATGGACTATCTCTCAGCCATAAAAAGGAACAAAGTAATGTCTTTTGCAGCAACTTGGATGGAGCTGGAGGCCATTATTTGAAGTGAATGGGAAACTAAATACCATATGTTATCACTTATAAGTGGGAGCTAAGCTATGAGGACATAAGACATAGAGTGATGTAATGGACTTTGGGGACTCTGAGGTGGGAGGCTAGGAGGAGGCTGGGGGATAAAAGACTACATATTGGGTATAGTGTATGTTTTTTGGATGACAGGTGCACTAAAAACTCAGAAAATCAGTCTGGTTGATTGCATATCCTGACAGATTTTTTTTTCCTAATTCTATCATGTTTTAGGCAACTCTTGCCTTGAATTCATACAAGTTTTTACTGTTATTTCATTTAAGTTCTGATAACAGCAATAATAATGACAGTAATCAACTACATTTTCTGTGGCACTAAGCATTAGAAACAACTTAGAGAGGTCATGCAGTCCATAAAAGAGTGGCTTTATTTCAGAACCTGACAGAGTCCCCTCTCATGGGACAACTATTGAACGTGGGTAAACAATCTTACACACTTCTCAAATATATATTTCTCACCCTACCATAAACATATATCCCAAAGTCACAGTTGTCTGGTAGATCCTACCCGGAGCTCATTGTTTTCAGGAAGGGATAAAGCTGTGCTTCTCAAATTTCCATATAAAACACCTGGTGATCTCACTTAATGAGATTCTGTTTGACAGAGCATTCCTGTTTAAATAATGCTATTTTTTATTCTTATACTTTTGACCATCCCTGGCCCCCAGTAAAAGTGGAAGCTTCCACCTCAACTTCACTGTGTTCAGACACACCGCCTCATCAGGACCATGGAGAGTTTGCTTCCTTCCATTTCCCAAGCTCGCATGGGCCACTTAGAAAGGCCACTATGCCTAACTTAGCCCCAGGCACTTCCATAAAATAGAAAAAGGACATTTTGTGGCCCTTCTAAAAACATGTAAACACAGTTTCATGGTTAAAAAAAAAAAGATAAGAAGAGACAAAATTTTTTTTAAAATTCTATGATTTGTAGAAAACGACTAATATCCTGGCCAGGCACAGTGGTTCACGCCTGTAATCCCAACACTTTGGGAGGACGAGACGGGCGGATCATGAGGTCCGAAGATCAAAACCATCCTGGCTAACACGATGAAACCCCATCTCCACTAAAAATACAAGAAAATTAGCCGGGCATGGTGGCAGGCACCTGTAGTTCCAGCTATTCGGGAGGCTGAGGCTGGAGAATGGGGTGAACCCAAGAGGCGGAGCTTGCAGTGAGCCCAGATGAGGCCACTGCACTCCAGCCTGGGCGACAGAGCGAGACTCCGTCTCACGAAAAGAAAAAGACTGACGACTAATATCCTATGACTGAACCCAAACGTAAGGGGGAGTTATTCTTTCCTTTGTCTATGTGTTAATTAGAGTCAATGTGATTTTCATTCTGGATATGGACTTCACACTGTCAAAGAGCAATACTGTACTTAGATCACTTTCCGTGTTTTCAGAGACAGTGCCTGTATCATAAAAACTGTACTGTTTTTGATAAGTTTCAGTGAGAAACTTCAAGATATTTATACTTCATTACTATTTAGCAAAGTGAAATCTTCAGTATTATACAGTATACTCTGCTGAAAATAAAAACTTGTACATCCGTAAATACATTATGTATAAGAAAGACAGACCTGATTATTCTAAAAGTAGTGCCAATTTTCTTTTCTCATGGCGAGTATGTACTTCACTGTGGGTTTGGGAAGTGAGAAATCTTTACTGCCAAGTGAACGTTAAGAATTATTCTATGAGCAAGAGGCCTGGGCAGGAAAAGACACTCCTTAACTTAGTCTTGACCATTTGATAACTTATTGTCACAGGCAAAATCAAGTAACAGTTTGTTGCAGATATCCAAAATGTGTTCCTCTTATATAAGTTTCCTTCTTTATTTTACTAGTGTGCTCTGAATAGTAAATTGTTTCCATCCACTGAATCTGTGGCTGACCCTTTATCTTCGCATGACCCTTTATCTTTTTTTATTTTACTAGTGTGTTTATTTTCCTTCTTTATTTTACTAGTGTGCTCTGAATAGTAAATTGTTTCCATCCACTGAATCTGTGGCTGACCCTTTATCTTTTTTTTTCCAAGGATGCTGCATTTAATGACACTTTTATTTTCCTCTAGCATTGCAACATTTGTTGTGTTGTTTTTTGAGGCATCCAGTTGCATCTTGCATGATGATTGACCATGGTAGATAATCTCTGGGTTTTGCTTATGTATGTCACGTCCCCCTCAGTGCCATCTTTAGGGACTCAGGACTCGGACAGATCACATGGCTATTCACCCTCTCCCCATCCTACCACATTTTTAAAGAGATACAATTCACTTTTTAGTATTCAGAGCAGGTCTGAAGGGGAATGAAGATGCAAAAGGGCAATCTAGGGGGCTTCTGGGTAGTAAAGGAAGTATCTCATTCTTTTGCTTGAAAAATATTGGGGTTATCTACGAGACGATTGGTATGTCAGCAGATATGCTCTTTTGGAAATAAAAACCAAGACTCATCTCTTTTAGGAACCAGCTGCTGCTTTCTATACTGTTCAATCACCAGCAGTCTGAAATTCTCCAACCCATCCCAAGGCAGTTATCTCTGATGCAAATTTCTCTGCATGCAAAATTCACTGATGCCAAATTCACTGCAAGCATATAGCATGCAAATGCATAGAAATCCATTTTCTTTACATAGCAAAGTCACTTTTCAAACTATGCTTATCTGCATCCTTAAGAAGGCAGATAAAGATTACCATCCAAAGTTACCAATAATATATTTAAAATCCTAAAAGATGAACATTTACTCTGGGAGAAAGTAATGTATCACTACTGGCTATGTGGAGAACGTTTGGGTTTGCTAGCTTCTGACTGCCTGGATTTCAAAGCCAAATTATCTTGCTTTTCAAGTAGGGGAGTCTCTCTCTCTCTCTCTCTCTCTCTCTCTCTCTCTCTCTCTCACACACACACACACACACACACACACACACACACACACACCCCTCCAATGCCTCAGGAAAGGACAAAATCAAAACAATGAGAGGAGAACAGTAAAAATAAATAGATTAGGAAAAGCATAGCGGTCTCTATTTCCCCATCTCTAATTGAGGGCTGGACTACAGGCTCTGCAGTTATGATTTTAAGTACCCAACGTTCTGAACAATGACACAACAGTCTGCCACTTTTACCTCACTGACAGGAGAGCAGAGGGAAGCTAAGAGAACCTCCTGCCAAGCTAGAAAATTTATGGATGTAGCCAGGCAGTGGTTGACAATGGAGGGACCCCTGACTTGGGGATGAATAATGGTGCCCATAAGCCACCTGCAAACGTAAGCTGTAACCCTTGGAGAACCCAGAAAATGATCTCTCCATGCAAATCTCTCCAGAACGTTTGCATTCTGCTTGGCTATGTCTCCAAAGCTTCCGATCTCCTTCCCTGACCTTGCGTTTCCTATTTCTTTCCTCTAAGCCAAGCTCAGGAAGTCCCTATTGTTATCAAATCACATCTGCCATCACTTGCTGTAGCTGTCGCACTGCCTGAAAGCCTGGCTTGCACATTTGCCTCTTCAACTTTGTGTGATGAGAAGTTCTCTATTCCTTTTCCTGATCTAGTGCCTGAAAACCGATAAAACACAAAGCCCACTCCTTCCCCCTTCTAAGCGGTTAGCGCGTGGGGCCCGTTGTACCGCTCAGGTTTATGTCAACATAACACGAGCTCACTCACCAAACAGGCTGAGCACTCGCCAAGTTTACCTTGCCTCAGCGGACGAAGTATCAGGCTCACTCTTGTTTTGCTTCGACCATCAATCCCTTCAATAATTGCAATCAAAGGGAAGGCACTTTAACGTTCACTATTTTAATACCCGTTTCCACGGGCCAGCGGGGCTGGAAATCCCGAGGATGAGGGAGCCCTACCAGTCTCCACCTATCGCAGTCGGCCCCGCGCAGGGTCTCCGCTAGACATCAACGCGCGGGGCCTGGGGATTTCGGCCCCGGCCGGGACCCTTGCTCCTATGTCGCTAGTTGCTCTAGGGGGGCGATCTGTGCCTGGGAGGCGGGAAATCCCGCGGCACCAGAGAAGCCAAGAGAAGTCCCAGAAACCAAGTGAAGGTGAAAGAAAGGGCGGGAGAGAGTGGTGAGTGGAGCCAGAGAGAGGCGCGCATGGTGTGGCGGCGGCCGGGTGCGGGGCCGTCTTACCTCTGCAGGCGCCCGCGCAGCAGGCGAGCAGCAGCAGCAGCAGGAGCTTGGACGCCGCGGCTCCCTGTCCGGGGGGCGACCTTGGGGGGCAGCTCGCTGTTCGCAGCATCTCGGCGGCTGCGGGAGGCTCGCTGCTAGGGACCCTGCGCTGCGCCACGCCGAGCTGGTGCTCCACCTGGTGCCCTGGCAGTGCCTCCAGCGGCCCTGGAGCGCCGCTCGCGGGGCTCACACACAGAACTGAGCGCCCGGCGCGCCGACAACTTTTAAATCTCGCGCACACGTGGGTTGGGCTGCGCAGTCCCCGCCGCACGTCACCTCGCCGCCTGCCACCCCCGGCCTACCCCGCGTCATCCGCCCCACTGCCTGCCCGCGCCCCACCCTGCAGGGGGACCCGAGCCCTCTGGCCTGAGTTTCTGACCCAAGTACCACGCATTTTCGCTCTGGGATAAAGAGAATGGACTTTAAATAATGCACCATTCACACCTTTGGAAGGACTGGAGTGGGAACACAATGGAGATGGCAAACCAGGCCGTCTGAATTTTTAAACTTGGTAGTGGCGACGCTGTCTGGTTTCCTGGGTCTGCGTGGGACGCGCTTTCTCCTTCACCTCTGCTAGAGCTCCGGCAGCCCCTAGTACGCACCTCTGTGGAAGCGCCTCTGTTTTGTTCCCCGGTTTATCCCCAGGTCCAAGCTCAATGCCTGGTGCATATCAGGGCAGTGCTGGTTCAACGGTGATGTTGATGCTATCTACCCTCCCCCAAATTCCTGCAAAATCACAGACCCCTTAGGGAAATGCAGTTGCCTGTTAATAAAAGATAAAGAAGAAAGGACTGCTGGGGCTTGACCACACACATTTCTAACAGCTCTGGAGCGCCGGTTATCCTACGGATTTCCAAGCCTAAGGAAACTCCTTTTTCTATGCATTTCTGCTGCTATTGCATCCTGATTTCTACCGTGACCTGACTCCCTCTTTCTATCTCTATACTTTCCTTGATTGGAAACGTTCAGGAAGCAGCCTCTTCCAGGACACCAGCTAATACAGTCCTAATTTCCTTCTACAGAAAGAGGGAAACCTCGTCTTTATTATTATTATTTCAAGTTCCGGGGTACATGCGCAGGATGTGCCGGTTTGTCCCATAGCTAAACGTGTTCCATAGTGGTTTGCTGTACCTATCAACCCATCACCTAGGAATTAAGCCCAGAATGCATTAGCTATTTTTCCTGATGCTCCCCCTGTCCCCGCACCCCCCCCCATAGGTCCCAGTGTGTGAAAACCGGTCTTATTTGACCTCCCTTTGAAAGGCGAGGAACGCCGAGGAAAGGGCAGGAAGTACATTAACATTTCTGAAGGGGCACTTTTGCGTCAGGCATTTTCTCGTGTTATTTTATTTAATATTCATGGTATCTCTGGGATGTAGAAGTACTGAAATTCTCATTTATGATGCCAAGAGGGATTAAACAATCTGCTCAGGGCTGTCAGCACGTGAGGCAGCCACTGGCTATTCTACTCCACCAAGATACTTCTCCCTAAATACAGAGTTTTAATGTATCAGGCACACACAGCTCAACCTACTGTAAGCAAGACCTGACCTTTGGGGATACAAGATTTAGTGACAGTAGGATCTTTCTCTCCTAAGGAAGTTATAACTTGGTAAAGGACCCTAAACCCTTACTCAAATAGCTGAATTACAAGGCAGATTGGGATAGTGCTCTGTCAGAAATACGAAGAGAGGCAGGAGTAAAACCCTGACAGATTAGGTAAAAAAATAATGGCCACCTTCTTTAAATTCTTTATACACAGGAAGTGTGTAAGAAAGGCTGGATTATAGGGTCTGGTCCAAGTTCAGGGATGGGTGAGAAAATATTTGATTCAAGATTCTTGTACTTTGATTTATTCCCAAAGTAGTAAAAAAAGAAAAAAAAGAGCACAAAGGATGTAAATGACCTACGGATGCAAGCAAGTGAACATGGCTCTGCTTCCCTATGACCTTCTTCCTGGTGTCTCCCAGAGGTGAACTGAAAGATCACCAGTCCCAGCAGCCAGTGTGAGCGTGAAATGTCAGCCAGAGCAGAGAAGCCTAAAACAGTGGGCTTAATGTTTTTTATATCCCCAACAAGTCAGCAAAATAGACAACTTGTGTATTAAAGTTTTTTTTTTTTCCTTGCATGAACCAGCCTGCTTAGAACGTTCTTGTACATGCCCCCTAGTGTACACGCGCAAGAGTTTTCTGAGGAATGTTCCCAGGAGTGGAGTCATTAGGTCATAGGTGATGACCTAGCTAATCTCTGTTTTACACTGTTTTCCAAAGTGTTATACCAATTTACATTCCCACCAACCATGAATGACGTTTCCATGGCTATTCATTCATGCAGAAACCTTTGTCAATATGGTGAGTGTGACTTCTTTCCTTTTTTTTTTTTTCCTTCTTGTTTTTTGAGATGGAGTCTCACTCTGTTACCCAGGCTGGAGTGCAGTGGCACGATCTTGGCTCACTCCAACCTCTCCCTCCCAGTTCAAGGGATCCTCGTGTCTCAGTCTCCTAGTTGGGACTACAGGTGTGCACCACCACACCCGGCTAATTTTTGTATTTTTAGTAAAGATGAAGTTTCACCACATTGGCCAGGCTGGTCTTTGAATGCTTGACCTCAGGTAATCCCCCTGCCTCAGCCTCCCAAAGTGTTGGGACTATAGATATAAGCTGCTGAGCCTGGCTAGTGTGACTTTTTATTGTGGACTTAATTTGGAATCCCAGTTTACTAAAAGAGGTTGAGTAATTTTCCACAAATTATTGGCCATTATTGCTTCCTCTTCTGTGAAATATCTCAGTGAAAATTTATTTCGCCCATTTTCCCCCATTGGGTTGTTAACTTTTTTCTTAATCATTATAGCAATGCTTTATGTATTTGGGAACATTTGTTTGATTAAATATGTGGCAAATATTTTCTCCCTATTTATGGCTTTTCTTCCATTATTTTTAATATGAGTTGTTATTTTTGAAGAAATGTTCAGGAAGAGACTTGCAGGCTTGAAGGTCATGCCATTATGTGACTTGAATGATAACAGAAGATAGATAGGGGAGTAGAAAAGTGGGGGCCTATAGGCACTGGATTCCTCTGGGAACAGATGACTAAATGGAAGCTGATTCTACAGGTACCCCTTTGTCCAAGCATTGCAAAGAAGTGAAATCCCAGATCACTGCAGTGGTCCCTTGATAATTTAGTTACAGACATTCCAATTTGTACTTCTAAATTCACATTCATTTGAGCTTGTATATCCATATATACGAGCTTTGAGAGCATTTCCATTTATTCTGTATCAGATTGAAAGTTTGATTCTTAGTGCCTTGCTGATTCCTCTCACCTATTATCTCTTGCATTCTTCACCACAAATTGGCAACTGGACTTTGCTTTCTGCTGACAATCTGTAACAATGAAAGTTCAATTGGTCAAGGGCCTGCAGATTAGCAAGACCTACTAGCTTGTGATAGAGATGTCTAGAAAAGTTGTCATGGAAAGGATTAGAAGGGGAGGAGAGTGGGATATCAGGAGAATGAGAGAGTCAGCAATAGATAAAAACCAGTCAGGCAGCTTAGTGGTATTTCATGCCTGTAATCCTAGAGCTTTGGGAGGCTAAGGTAGGAGGATCACTTGTGGCCAGGAGTCCCAGACTGGCCAGAGCAACATAATGAAACGTCATCTCTACAAAAAATAAAAAGAAAATTTAGTTGGATGCAATGGCATGCACCTGTAGTTCTAGCTACTCAGGAGGCTGAGGCAGGTGGATTGCTTGAGCCCAGGAATTTAAGGTTGCAGTGAGCTCTGATTGTGCCACTGCACTCCAGCCTGGGAAATAGAGTGAAATTGTGTCTCTATGAGTGGATGAATGAATGAATGAATGAATGAATGAATGAATGAATGAATACATATATACATACATATATACACATATACAGTCAGTTGGCAATAGGGAAGTCTAGTAATAAGCAAAAATATCCAGCTTCAGGAACTAAGAGTAGAGGCAAGATCTGGAAGATGTAAGCGTTCTAGGCAAGGTGAAATCATGAAGTCCTTCAAATATTAATCGAACACCTACTGGGCTCCATTCTGGGAGCTTGGGATATAGCAGTGATGTCTCCGCCTTGGAGTTGGCAGATTTTCAAGAGAGTCAGATAATAAGAAAGTAAATTTTAAAATTAGCAATTTCAGCTAGTAGCAAATGCTATAAAAGAAATTAAGTCGGGGTAATGAAATAATAGAAGGTGGCTGGCAGTTGGGGGAAAGATACTTGAGCCAGGATCATCTAGGCATGCGTCTCTGAGGAGGGGTTATGGGGGGCCTGAATGATGAGAAGGAATGAGTTATGGGAAGAACTGGGAAAAAGGAACCCCAGACAGAGGGGCCATCAAGTGCAAAGGTCCTGAGGCAGAAACAAGTCTCAAAGGTTTAGAGAGCAGAAGGAAGCCAGTGTAGCTGGCACGGAGTGAGTAGGCAAGGTAGGGTCTTGATCATTGATGAGTCTTACAGGCCATAATGAGTTCAGATTTTTCTCTAAGTAAAATGGGAAGCCTTTGGGGGATTTAAAGAAGAGGAGTGAGATGATCTGAATTATATTTGAAAAAGTTCACTCCAGCTTCAGTGAGGATCAGGCTCTGGGGGACCTGAATAGAAGCAGGGAGACCAGGTAAGAGGATACTACAGAAGCTCATGCCATGGCCAAAAGGAACAAAGTACTGATATATGCTGCAACCTGTGTGAAACTTGAAAACACTTATCCCAAGCAAAAGAAGCCAGACACAAAAGGCCACATATTGTATGATTCCATTTATGTGTAATGTCTAGAATAAGCAACTCCATGGAGACAGAAAATAGATTAGTGGTTTTCAGGGACTGGTGAGAGTGACTGCTTCTAAGTGTAATGGTTTCCTTTTGGGGTGATGAAGATGTTCTGGAATTAGTAGTAACAGTTGCACAGCCTTGTGAATAGACTAGAAACCATTGAATTATACACTGTAAAAGGATGAATTTTATCATGTGAATAATATTTCAACTTTGAAAAAAGATCGAAGTCTAGATCACCTATTATAATATGTTGGATCGGATGGTGGCAGTCTTTGCATCTTAGCACAAGCAAAATTTGTCTATTTTTGGCATGAAATATCCAAATTTTATTACATAGTCCTAGATGTTCTTAGTAACTCGAAATCCTCCTCTCCCACTTCACGAAGGCATTCACCTAGGACATGTCTGCATCAGTGACTC